GTAGTAGAGCTCTACCCAGCAATTGTGAGCCCTGAGTTCAAACTCCAGTACCACAAAAAAGGGTGGAGGGACAACTCTACACAGGAGGCAAAGACAAGCAAAAAGTTAACAAAACCCTATTTCATAAACAAGCAGGGCAAGGTGGGCACACATCTGTAATCCCAGCTACTTGAGGTAGAGAATCTCAAGTTTGAGTCCAGCCTGAGCAAAGGTAGTACAAACCTATCTGAAAAATAAACTTAAAATGAAAAAGTACTGGGGATATAGAGCACTTATCTATCAAGCAGAGACCCTGAATTCAATCCCGAGTATGGGGGGGGGGGAAAAATCGGAAACTCTATCAATTGATAGCACCTGTAATGCCAGCACCCAGGGGGCTGGGGCAAGAGGATCTTGAGTTCCAGTCAGCTTGAACTATGTAGAGATATCTTGTCAAAAAAAAAAAAAAAAAAGAAAGAAAGTAAAAAAATCCCAAAAAAGTCCCCCAAAATCTGTGATGTCCACACACCAGAATATTATGTCGCCATAATAAAGAATGAAGTACTGACACATGCTACAACACAAATGAACTCTGAAAACATGCTAAGTGAAAGAAGCTAATTACAAAAGATCACAATATTGCCAGGCCCCAGTGTCTTATACCTGTAATCCTAGCTACAAAGGAGGCAGTGATTAAGAGGATCAAGGTTTTAAGCCAGTCTGGGCAAAATTGTTTGCAAAACCCTATCTTGAAAATATCCAGCACAAGCCCCGTGCCAGAGGCTCTCGCCTGTAATCCTAACTACTCAGGAGGATCAAGGTTTGAAGCCAGCCTGGGAAAAATAGTTTTTGAGACCCTATCTTGAAAAAAACCTATCACAAAAAAGGCTGGTAGAGGCTCAAAGTGTAGGCCCTGAGTTCAAACCCCACAAAAAAAAAAAAAAAAAAAAAAACCAGCATAAAACAGGGCTGGTGGTGAATGGCTCAAGTGACAGAGTACATGCCTAGTAAGCTTGAGCCCTGTAACAACCCCCCCCTAATAAAAGATCAAATATTATATTATTCTGTATGTGAAATGCTCACAATAGGAAAATCTAGAGACAAAAAGTGTATCAGTACACTGGGTGCCAGTGGCTCAAGCCTGTCAACTCTAGCTATTTAGGAGACAGACAGGGAGGCTCAAGGCCAAGCCGGGCAAATAGCAGCAGAGAGCCCATCTCCAAAACAACCAGAGCAAAGTGGCTCAAGTGGTAGAGCGCTTGCTTTGCAAACATGAAGCCCTGAGTTTAAACACCAGTCCCATCAAAAAAAAAAAAAAAATTACTGATACCCTATTTGTAGGGAATGTGGAGGAGTGGAATGAAGAATGGCTGCAAAATGAATGTATGCTTACAACTGAAAGACAGGCTTGTAAAATAGGTCAAGTTAGGGTGTGGGGGTGGTAAATGGATGGGGAAAGGAGGATCAACATACTTTATACATTTACATGAAAGTGAAACAATGAAACCTATTGAAATCGTTTCAAGTAGGGAGGGAGGCAGATGAAAAAGTGATAGTAGGGTTGAACCTAACCAAGGCACATTGTAAAAATATATGGAAATGTCAAAATGAAACCTCCCCTGTATAACTAATATACAATAATTTTTTTTTTTTTTTTTTGGCAGTACTGGGGTTTGACTCAGGGCTTCATGTCTGCTAGGTAGGTTCTCTACCACTTGAGCCACTCCATCAGCCCTGTTTTGGGTTGGGTATTTTCCAGATAGGGTCTCAAAACTATTTGCTATGGGCTAGCTTCAAACTTCAGTCCTCCTGATTGCTGACTCCTGAGTAGCTAGGATTACTGGCATGAGCCACCAGTGCTCAGCTAAAAATTTTTTATAATTTAAAAAGAGTGGTTGCAGTGGGCATGGTGGTACACACTTATAATTCCAGCACCTGGGCAACTAAAGCAGGGAGATCCCTGGGTTTGAGGCCAGTCTGGGCCACATATAGACTCTGTCTCAAAACAAAACAAGAATCACTTCTAAGAGTATGGCGTTTCTTTGTGAGGTGATGAAAACCATAGTGATGGCTATACAGTTCTGTGGACATACTGAAAACCATTAAATTGTACAGCTGTGAACTGTATGCTAGCTATGCTCAATAAAGCTGTTACTCTTGGGCTGTCAGGGAGGGGCAGCTTAACAGTACTGGCCCTGAGTTGACCTCCAGCACCACAGAAACAAAACAGGCTGCAGCCTCGCCTGTGTGTAGGCTCAGCATGCACATGGCAGTGGATCTAATCCCTAGCAGAAGGGGGGAAAAAAGAAAAAGTCAGCTATTCCGAAAATAGTTCCTCGCCCTGTTATATTACACAAGAACTCTGGAGCCAGGTGTGGTGGTACACGCCTATACTCCCTGCACTCAGGAGACTGAGGAAGGAAGAGTCACAAATCAAGGCAAGTCTGAACTAATCATTTCATTCATTTGGAATAAGATATTAATCAAAATCATACCTGAAAAATTATAAAAGCAGAATGAAAATGATAAAAAACAGGAGGAGCCAGGCACCGGTGGCTCACGGCTGTAATCCTAGCTTCTCAGGAAGCAGATAAAGAGGATCTTGGTTCAAAGCCAGGCCAGACAAGTAGCTCATGAGCCCCTATCTCGAAAAAACTTATCACAAAAAAGGGCTGGTGGAGTAGCTCATGGTGTAGGCCCTGAGTTCAAACCCCAGTTCCATAATAAATTAAATAACATAAAATAAAAAGCAGAAGAAAATAGGTGTCTAAAACTTTATGTCTAGCCAGGTACAGGTTGCTCACACCTGTAATCCTAGCTACTTGGGAGGCAGAGATCAGGAAGAAGAGTTGTAGTTCAAAGCCAGTCCACTGCAGAGACCCTATCTGGAAAATATCCAACACAACAGGTAAAGGGGGGGATAAAGAAGAATGATGGAGGGAGGTGAACTCAACTATGATTATATTGTAAGAAATTTGGTAAATGTCACAATGTACCCCCAGTAACAAGGCTGGCAAATGAAATCCTGAGTTCAAAGCCTACTACTGCCCAAAAAAAAGAAAGGAAGAAAAAAAAATTGGGGCCTTAACTGGGCCAAACTCAGGGCCTCACACTTGCTAGGCAAGTGCTCTTATCACTTGAGTCACTTCATCAGCCCATTTTTCTGTTTTGTTTGTTTGCTTGTTTTTCAGTATGGGGCTTGAAATTCAGGGCCTACACCTTGAGCCACTCCACCAGCCCTTTTTTGTGAAGGGTTTTTCGAGACAGAGTCTCTGGAACTATTAGCTAGGGATGGCTTCAAAGCTCGATTCTTCAGATCTCTGCCTCCTGAGTAGCTAGGATTACAGACAGGCATGAGCCACCAGCGCCCAGCCGGAAAAAAAAAAAAAAAACTTTTTAATGTCTAATATACTAACAAAAATGTATCTCAAAAAGGAGGTACAGGACCGGCAGAGTGCAGTAAGTGGTGGAGTGCCTGCCTAGCAATCATGAGGCTCTGAGTTCAAACCCCAGTGCCACCAAAAAAAAGGGAGGGGTTGGGCATTTGCGGTATACCTTAGTGATAAGAGTGCTTGGTATGTGCCAGGCCCTAGGTTCAATTCCTAGTACCACCAAAAAAACCTTTTTGCAAATGACTAGTCCTGAAAGCTTAGTATTGTAATGATATTCAATAAATGCTAAGTGATGTGCTAGTGAACACTTTTTCTTTCGCAAACTGGTTGGACTTAGACATCTTTTAGCTGAATTCCACTACTGGGGTACATTGCTGAATACAAGTCATTTGAAAAACCACTTAAACATATTATTACCTGATCACTCAGAGCAAAAAGTTTCAACATTCCTAACTGCCTACTAAATGCAGAATATTTCATGTTTCAAATATTTTCAATTCGCAAGTACCAACATGCAGGGTACATTCATTCCAACTGCGTATAAGCACAGTATAAGTAGTTCACCACCTATACAAACACTTCCTTAACTTTCCAGGGTGTTAAAAACGTAGGGAAAAAAAAAAAAAAGGCATCTGAAGGGTGTGGCAACTCATTCAAGGTCACAGAAGTCAGGGCACAGAGCAACATTCTAGTTATATCAATCCTCCAGGGAAATCTTGGTGACAATTTCGCAAGAAGATTTTGATCTGTTTTATATCAAAAAGGAAAAGAGGGGAAAGGGCTTAGATCAAGACTTCCAAACAGAGCCAGACGCCGGTGGCTCACGCCTGTAATCCTACTGTAGCTACTCAGGAGGCAGGGATCAGGAGGATCACAGTTCGAAGCCAGCCCAGACAAATAGTTCTGAGACCCTATCTCGAAACAGCAATTTTGGATAAACACTAGCGCGGGTGAGTGGTTATGGACTAAACAAAACTCCCAACCAAGAGCAGGTGAATAGTTGGCCACATCGCCCGAATTTCAACCCTGTTACAACAGCGACTCAAAGTCCATGCTTTTCCCCTACGCGGTAGGATATGAAGGCAAGAAAACTTGGGACCTCCTTGGGACCGTGTGAGAACAAATCAAAGGAAATAAGGAATTGGTGTCAACTATCTTGCCTGTAAGAAAGCCGGTTTTTCGGGGGGGGGGTGCTAGGAAACGGGTGTCGAAACAGCAGGTAATCAAGGCTAAGGAACAGGCTCTAAAAAAACGACTAGGACGGGCTCTTGGCAAGTGAGCCGCACTGCCATCATTCTCCTTGACCATAAAGAAGTCCACAGCCTCCTGTCTGGCCCTAAAAACGAACTCGAGTTTTCCAAGGGCAGCTATTTGGGGAAGAACGGTCCTGCGAGCGAGGGCTGGGATCCCGGCCTCGGGCACCCCACAGCGCTACGGGACGAGGCCGACAAACGGGGTTCCGAGGCAATGGACCCTCAAGCTTCGAGAAGCCTCGGGTGGAGGAGCGCCGGTACACACGCACATTCACTCTCGGTCTCACTCACGCGTCGTCGGAACCGCTGAGGAGCCGGTGGCTCGGCACGCCTTTCTCACCCAGCTGTCTGCCCGAACCCCACGTCCTTCCCTCACCTGGCCCTGGCCCCTGCCCCAGAAGAGATGAAAGATGCGGCGGCGGCGGCGGTGGAGGCAGCTACTTCCCACAGGGTTCCGCCAGCGACGGTGGCTGCTTCGACCCACGGCCCTAATCTACCGCCGCCGCCATGTTGAAGGGTGAGGTCACCCACGGCGTGCTTTCGTCACCCCCGGCGGATGGGCGGGGCCAGGGCGCGGAGCAGCGCCGGAAGAGGGCGGCTCTGTTAGCCGGGGCGGAAGCACGGACCATCGAGACGTGGAGGTGTTTTGCCCAGATGTGACCTGAAAGCCGACCCTTCCTAGCCCGCTCTTCCTAGGAGTCCCTCAAATCTATGGTTTCTGGGGTTGCGGAAGTGCACGCTCTAAACTATTTCCGGTCACAAGAAGCCAGCGAGAGGCTGGAGGTTCCTGGGGTATAAAGCAGCGCCGTATCCCTAGACTATGTTCCAGTTCTGTGGACGTGGGTTGAGTTCCAAGTGTATGCCAGCGAGCGGTTTATATTGGTGTCGAGGCGAGTCGCGAGAGCTGCGGGGTTCGCGGCCACTTGGGGACGGTATCTTTGCGATGAGGGTGTGATGGTGTAGAGGAGTACATCTAGGCCCAGAGACTGCCAGAGCACAGGCCTTGTGGCGATAAAAGAAAGCTTACAGTAAGAATTCCTTTTTGTTCACAGCACCTAGCACAGTACCTGGAACGCATTTTGAGTCAGTTCACTTGAACTCAAGCATCATTTGGAGGACTTGAGGGTACAGTAGTGTGCTGTAGGGGATCTCGTTGTGTAGCTGAGATGAATGGTGACAAGGAGGTAGAAGGCTGTGTAACCAGCCAGAGCAGTGAGAAAAGCCTGGGAGGAAGTGACTGCCCGTGGGCACCGGGTTTCTTTGGGGGATGATGAAAATGTTTAAATCACAGTGGTGATAGCGGTACAACTCTTGTGAATAGTATTTAATGGTACATTGTAGATGAATTGCATGATCTCTAAGCTGTATCTCAATGAAGTTTTTTTTCTGGAGGTACTGGGGTTTAAACGTAGGGCCTCATGCTTGTCAGCAGGCGCTGTCAACACTTGAGCGACACCTAGAGCTCTTTTTTTTTTTTTTTTGGTGGATCTGGGGTTTGAACTCAGGGCTTCATGCTTTGCAAAGCAAACGCTCTATCACTTGATAGAGCCATGCCTCCAATCCATTTTCTGCTGTGGTTATTTTGGATATGGAGTCCCTTGAACTATTTTCCTGTGCTGGCCTCAAACAGAGATGCTCCCAATCACAGCTTCTCAAGTAGCTAGTATTGTAGCTACTTGTTAGGTCCCTAACAGTTTAGTTGTTTTCAAAAAGGGTCTCGGATTTATGCAAAGGCGTGCCTGGACTGTGATTCTCCTATTGGGAGCATAAATAATATTTATCTTACTATCTTTAATTATGGTTATTATTTTGTTATTTTTTAATTGGTTGAGAATTTTTTGCCATGGCTAGCCTCCGCTGAAATCCTCCCCATTTTCACTTTCCCAGTAGCTAAGATTACTGGTGTGAGCCACTAAGCCTGACTTAAAACTATTTTAAAAGAAGTGATAGAGTTGAGGTGTAGCGCAGTGGTAGAACACTTGCCTAGCATATGTAAGACCCTGGATTCATCAGCAGCAAGAGGTGTGGCTCTTGTCATAGAAATTTTAAGCCTGTTCAATTGAGGAACAATGCAGTGGTGTCATTAGTAGAGAAACCGTAGAGATTTGCCAGGGAGGGGAGAAAAAACGGAGAAAAGAAAAAAAGTGAAAGAGGTTTGCCAACAAAAGTCTTAATGAGCTAAGAACCAACTATAATGTCCAAATAGTTCCTAATAATCCATAAGTTCCCCCAAGTAATACCTATTTATGGTTTGGTGGTTTGGAGGCTTTTTTGTTTCGCATTTTGGGACAGCAGGGTCTCTCTGTGTGTCCCAGGCTGGCCTGGAGCTCACAATCCTCTTACCTTTTACTACTGATTGCTGGGATTACAGATATGTACCACCACACCCAGCCTAACCTTGACTTTTTGAGGTATATTTGTACAGTAAAAATTACTCAAAACCAAAATGAATCACTGATATACATAAGCTTATAGATTAATCTCAATAAACATTGTGTTGAGTAAACAAAGTCACAAATTTAAGGTCAGTCTGGCTTCCATAATAACACCCTGTCTAGGCTGGATATGGTGGCACACACATGTAATCCCAGTAGTCAAGAGGGTAAGGCAGGAGGATTTTGGGACACATAGCAAGACTGTTTCCCAGAATGAGAAAGAGAAGTCCATAGTGGTCAACTGATTTTCAACACAGGCCCTAAGGCACTTCAGTGGAGAAAGGATAGGGTTTTTAAACAAATGCTGTAAAACAGTCCTTTACAGAAGTATTTAACTTTAATCATAGTAGCTTATGTTTTGGGGAGGGGGGATTTTTTTTTTTTGATGGATTTTAGTGGGTTGTACAGAGTTCTAGCCTACAGCCTGATATGATTATAGAATCTAGACTATTCAGTTTATTCTCATCAGTCAGTTTTTTAAATCATGCCACATCATCTTTAATCAAGTAAAACTCCTTAATGTGTACTCTTAGTGTCACCTCAAGACCATTTCATGCACTGCTCTGTTTGGTAGCCAGCCTCTTGTCTCTTTCATCAACAAAGGTGAGGTGGATTCTCAGTAAAGTTGACCATTCCTAACAGACAGGACCTGGTCTGCTCCAAAACACTGCAGTACTAGTTATTAAAGAGCCTTGGGAGGAGGAAGCTACACAAAAGGATAGTAATTAGGGCTGGAGGTGTGGCTCGAACAGTAGAGCACCTTCTTTGCAAGCAGGAAGTCCTGAGTTCAAATTCCAGTTCTACCAAAAAAACAAAACAAAACAAATTTGAGGGACTTTCTATAACTGACCTGACCTGTAATCTTCAAAACTCTCACTATGAAGAAAGACTGGCTGGGCATCTGTAATCGTATCTACTCAGAAGGCAGAGATCAGGAGGATTACAGTTTGAAGCAAACCCAGGCAAATAATTCCTGAGACCCTATCTTGAAAAAACCCATTACTAAAAGAAAGGAAGTCTGGTGCATGACTCAAGGTGTAGGCCCTAAGTTCAAGCCCCAGTACTGCAAAAAAAAAAACAAAACTGAGAAACTATTTCACATTAAATGAGACTAAAAAGATATAACATGCAGTAACTGATACTGGATCAGAAAAAAAGAATAAAGGGCTGGCAGAGTGGCCTGAGTGGTAGAGTGCAAAAAAGAAGAAAATGCTATAAAGAACATTCACAGAATACACAGCAAAACTTGAATATGAACTGCATATTAGATAACAGTGTTGTTTCCAACATTAAATGTCCTGAATTGGATCCACATACATACTTGTTCCCATAACATGCTGAAATAGTCCTCTGAATTCTGTGTGTATGAAAAGAAAAAAGAAAATTATAAGGCAAATGTTGCAAAGTGTTAATAGTTGGTGAATCCAGGTAAAGGGATCCCAGTGCACTTACAGCTTAGTATATTTGAAATTTCTTCAGAATAAAAATAATAATAAAGTCTTTATCCTTTGACACATAATTCTACTAGGATTCTATCACAAAGATAAAAAAGTTTTTGCCATTATACTTGGGACAGGTTGCTAGGGGATGGGACTTTAAGTAAATTCAAGCCAAAACTAAATAAACCTGTGGAAATTTCTGCCTTATTTCTTTCTAAGTGAGTTCTTGAAATGATAATGAAAAATGCATAGGTTCTTGCAGAATTCCAAATAAATTATACAGATACTCCATCCTAAGTGTTGGCTTTGCATAGTGATTTCCTTCCAAAGAGTACTGTATGGGGGCAGGGGAGAAAACAAAAGGACTTAATTCTTTACAGTGGAAAAACTTCACAAATACTGCTTCCTGTAGGTGACCAAGGTTGACATCAACAGCCAACAATCAGCTGTGCACTGGTGGCAGAGATAAGAAGAATCATGATTCAAGGCCAGCCCAGGCAAATAGTTCAAGATACCCTATCTCAAAAATACCCAAGACACACACACACATACCCAACACAGACCGGGGCTTGGCAGAGTGACTCAAGTAGTAGAGCACCTGCCTAGTAAGCATGAGGCCCTGAGTTCAAACTCCAGTACTACCAAAAAAAAAAGTCCAACAATCAAGAGCCCTTGGTATGACATGATGAAAACGACTATCTCTGTGATCTTTCTAACCAAAACCTGCAACCCCTGTCTAAGCATGAAAAAAATTTTGGAGCCATGCAGTATAGCATGAGGATTACTTGAATCCAGGAGTTGTAGACCAGCCTGGACAACCTATTGAGACCCCGTCTCTCAATTCAAAACCAAAAACATTCAATAATACTGGATTAAAACCCTACAATATACCTAGAGTACTCTTTCAAAACTTTCAAGCTATTCAAAAACAAGGAAGACTGAGAGCATGGCTCAAGAGGTAGAATGATTATCATATGAAAGGCTCTGGGTTCAATTGCTTCCCATATGTTAGGACCTAGTTACAATCCCCAATTATCACCAAAGAAAAAGTGGGAAATTGTCACAGCCAAAAGGAACCATAAAAAAAAAAGATGGCAACTAAATGAACTATGAGATCTTTTGGGTTTTTTCCCCCTTGAAAGTGATAATGGATTTGTTGATCATGTCCTGGCATAGTCAATGATTGAGGATGCCAGACTAGGAGTTAAGAGTAAAGCAAGCACAAAGTTTATTGAAAGGGTAGGAAAGCACCCTGACGGGTGGAACTTATTGAAAGAGCTAAGCCAAAGAATGGCTGAAGTCTAGGAGATGACACAGTGCACTAACTGGCTTAGGTCCAACTATACTACCTTGAAACTGTATTTGTAATTTGTTGGTGCTGAGTCAGCTTCTCACTGAACTCCACTACCTGTCTGTCCTTGTGCTTGTCAAACTGAGCATTCCAAGAAGGTCTTGTCAGCTCATCTTGACCTTGGGAGTCTGCCCAACTTGTCTGGCCTTGGGGCCCACTACCACATTGTGCATCTACATTTTGTTATTTTGGTTAGAGGCTTGTTATTTTTGTGAGAAACCTGTTGTTTCCCACATCCCTTTTACAAATCTGTTTCTAAAGTGCCTCTTATTCAAAATGGAGTCACCTCTGTCATTGTAAGGGCAGGTCCCTTACATAAGGACCTGCCCTTACAAGAAAGGAGACAGCAGAGATCACTCCATATCTGCACAGAAAATAGGCAACGTGTGGACGCAGGTAGAAGCAGCTTTGTAAGAGGACTCGGGAAACGTACCTTGATGGTACCTCAATCTTGAATTTCTAGCCTATGGGAAAATAATACTATTGTTTCGACCATGCGTGTTAAACCAGCAGGAGCAAACTAATACACAGTTTTAAGAGGTGGGCATTATCATCCCCATTTACAGATGAAGAAACCAAGGCTAAAGAGCTTGAGTTAAGCCTGGCACTGGTGGCTCACACCTGTAATCCTAGCTACTCAGGAGGCAGAGATCAAGAGGATCAAGGTTTGAAGCCAGCCCAGGCAATAGTTCGAGAGACCCTATCTCAAAAATACCTAACACAAAAAAAGGGCTGGTGGAGTGGCTCAAGGTGTAGGCCCTGAGTTCAAACCCCAGTACCGCCAAATAAAACCCTCATTTTCCCACTTTCTACAGAGGCTATCACCACACATGAAAACAAGTCACGCGCCTGGTGATGTTTGGCGCATGCGCCCGTTAGAGAAGGGCGGGACAAGGCTGGGAGAGGGCGGGTCTTCCTGGGCCCTATTCTCTTCTCATTGGCTGAGAGGGCTTGGTCTGCACTGTCACTTGCCAGGAACCGGAAGCCGATTTATAAAGTCACGAAAGGTGGAACTTGTGCTGGGTTTTCCTGTTCCATTTTCTTCGCCCCCTATTTCAGCCTAAGCTCTGGTCAGGCGCCCACTGGCCTACCTTCGCTTTCGCCATGGCCCTCAGCGATGCCGACGTGCAAAAGCAGGTGAGTGGCAGGAGTTCGTTTCCCGAAGGCGCAACGCCGACACAGGGTGGCGGGCCGGAGTCCAGCTCAGGAAGACTCGGGTCTTGAGCAGCCCGAGTGCTGCTGCAGGCCCTTCCCGCAGCTCCCTGGCCCTAGCAGTCCGTGTGCGGGGAGGAAGTTTGCTGAGTTCTCTGGTCTCAGGTGCGGCCGGCTCGCCAGCGCGCCGGCCTCCTGACCGTCCTAGCCGGTGGCCTCCCCCTTCGGCACCTCTGTTTTCCCGGAGTACTCACTGCGGGATCCGCAAGAGCTGTGCAAGGGCTGGCTGACTACAGACTGTCATTTGATGTTTTTAAATTTTACCACCACCGAAAGGCTCAGTATATGATAAGAAAAAAATTGTTGGGGAAGAGCAGCTGTCAGTGTTTTGAGGTCATTCGCTTTGTGAACTTTCTTCATCTTGGGGAAGTCTTTTTCATAAGAAGTCTAGCTTGTGCATTAATGCAGGGAGGGGGAATCTAATAAAGGTACATACTTAATTGTCACAATGACACCTCCCCCCGGACAGCTAATATATGCTAGTAAAAATGTAAAAAAAAAAAATGCCAAAAAAGATTTGACAAATGCAAAATCCTCTTTTTTTCCATGTGTGAGCCTGAGTTCCCAACAGTGTTTGGCACAAAATAGGGGAGCCAGGGCTTATGGAAAACATTGTTGCTCAGTCGTAAACTTACATCAGTTTGTAAACTATATAATCAGCCCTGGAAAACATGTTTTGGTTTTAAAAATTTGCTGTACCTTCAGGTTTGTAGGCATTAGAATATTATAACGTATCGGGCGTGGTGGGGCAATGCTGTAGTCCCAGTTGCTCAGGAGGATTGAAGTTGTTGGCCAGCCTGCACTACATAGCGAGATCTCTCCTCTAAATAAATAAAATAAAAGAATATTGCAAGGCGAAAGTCTCTAAACACGTTGGTGTTGGTAGGTCTACAACAAGAGAAAAAGTGGTTTCCATGTGCCTTGCTGATTGATATCCTGAAAGGGATCCTTACATTTACTCATCAGATTGCGGATTAGTTTTTCAGAGAAGGACGTTTAAAAAAAAAGAAAAAAAAAAAAAGGACGTTTAAGGCTGCATTTTACGTCTGCATAGTTTAGAGAACTAAGTCTTTTTTTTCCGTGTATTGGGAAAATTCTCTGACTAAGGGACGCTCACTGACTTATGCATCTTAGATGAGCAATAAAATGTCTTTTCCTCCCACGTTTCCATTTCCTTAAAAAAAAAAAAAAAAAAAAGTCTTTTCATCTTATCCTTACCGGAATATGCACAAAGAACAGTAAGAAGTCTTTTTCTTTTTTCTTTTTGGTTCTTGTGCTAATCACAAAAGGGAAATGACAAAAGTAATATCTATGGAGAAGGTTAGGAAGTGCAGTATTCTTACAGAAAATGAGGTTTTTGAACATTTATTGATGCTTCTGATTTTGAATATAGGAAAAACTTGATGTCGTGGAAAAATACAGTGCCTCCACTTGCTTTTATGAATCACAGTACTAACTCCCTTTTTCCTCTTATTGCTTGTTCCATTGGAAGCTTCCTCAGAAAAAGTACACTGCAAAAGTAAAACAGTGTTTCTCCTTGGACTCTAGATCAAAATCATGTTTTCTTTAGATACAATGAGAGAAACTAAGAATCTTGTGTATTGCCTGTACCCCACCACACTACATTTAAGGCAGTGTTTTGTTTTTTTTTTTATTGGTAGGGGGAGTTTGCTGGGGATCAAATCCAGGCTTTGCGACACAATGGATTTGCCACTGAGCTACACTCATGAGTTTTTGAGGTTTTTTCCCATGTGTTCTGTTCAGAGTATTTTCAGCAGTGTATAAGCCAAGTGTCAAACACATAGTAGGTTGAGTTTTTTTTTGAGGGGGGGGGACTAATATTTCTTTATTTATTTATTTTGTGGGATCTGGGTTTGAATTCAGGGCTCTGTGCTTGCAAAACAGGCACTCTACCACTTGAGCCACACCTCCAGTCCATTTTGGTCAGTTTATTTTGGAGATGGGATCTCGAAAATTATTTTCTCTGGCTGTCCTACAACCTCGATCCTCCCAATCTCAGCCTACCAAGTAGCTGGGATTACAGGCATAGCCACTGGTAGGTTCTTAATAAATCCTGGATTCCCTGACTTCATCACTATCATATTAAAATATTTGTATATATTTGCTTTGTGTATGTGTGTAATGCTGACCATCACTCACATGCCAGGTAAGCTGTCTACCACTGGGCCACACCCCAGAGCCCAAAATTTGCTCTTTTGTCTGGGTGTATGGTTATTTACTAAATTTTTAGTTGAGTTGGGCATGATGACACACCTGTAATCCTAGTTGTTAGGAGGTAGAGACAGGATTACAGTTTGAGGCCAGCCAGAGGAAAGGTTAGCAAGACTGTCTCAAACAAACTAAAGGGCTGTGAATGTAGCTCAAGTAATAGAGCTTGAGGCCCTAGCTTCCATCCCCAGAATCAGATACACACGCGCGCGCGCACACACACACACACACACACACACACACAAAAAAAAAGAAACCTGACTCAACGTTTAATTACTGGGTTAGCAAAAAAAAAACCAAAAAGTATTTTGTGAAGGTCTGGTTTTACTGCCTTGGGGGGAGGGTGGAGTTAAAATGTCCTTAAGGGGTTCACTGTTGGAACTTTTGGTTGACTGTAAATAGGCTTCTCTGTTTTGTACTAGGCCAGGCTAGTCGGGTTCACTCTGGCAGCTGAGGGTCCAGCATAGGTGATGAAGGCAGATAATACAGTTTTACATCAGGACTCACCTCTAGAGGCCAGGCCAGTCTTGTAGCATTTATAAACACCAATTTGGATTACTGTATTTAAGCTACTTTTTTTTTTTTGCCCGTACTGGAGATGGAACCCATGGCCTCTAAAATTCAAGGCAAGTTCTGTACAACTGAGCCACACTCAATGCCCTATGTAAATTACTTTTAAAATTCCAGAGAGAGTGAGTTCATTGAGGCTTCAAACAGAACCTGTAGAGAAGCTCATTCCTCACTGTCACTACACACACCCTAAGTCTGGGAGGGCTCATCTTTAAGCAAGGTACACATAGTTTTGGGTTAGTTACCCGCAAAGGTTCAAGGCATGAGGTTTTCTCAGCTTTACTGGGGTTTGAACTCAGAGCCTCACATTTGCTAGGAAGATGCTTTACCACTTGAGCCACACCCCCAAACCTTTTTTGCTGTAGGTATTTTTTCCATAGGATTGAGGACTGACCTGGACCTCAGTACTCCTATTTATGCTTCTCTCTGCACCCAGCTTTTTATTGGTTGAGAGCCTAGCGTTTTATTAATGAAGATGCGGGTCTCACAAACTTTTTGCAGGGTCTGGCCTCGAACCTCCATCCCCCGATCTCCGCCTTCCAAGTAGCTAGGATTACAGGTGTGAGTCACTGTGCCTGGCTTGAGGTTTTCTAAATATTGTATTATCTATGAAGTAGACTGATTGCCATATTTTTTTTTTTTTGCTTAATCAACAGTACACTGGCTCCTAAGAATCTTTTTCAAAGAAGAAAGCTGTCCTTTCTAGCCAGGCACTCTACCACTTAAGTCACTATCCCAGCCCTTCTAAACCATTCTGTCTTTGCCACAAAGATGTATTCTTAGCTCACTTTTTTCTTAATTCACTTTTTTAAAAATTCTGCTTAAAAAAATACATAGTATAATATTGACCACCTTAACCATTTTTAGTTGTACAGTTCACTAAGTATATTCACATTGTTGTGAAACAAAACTCACTTTTGTACACCTGTGTGTACTACAGGTTTAGGATACCTTTGTGGTACATGGACAGGTTTTATTGGAATTGTTTCTAGATTGTTAATCCCCATTAGGTATCTGGTACACACTACTCCTCAGGAGACTGAAACTGCCAACATACTCTCATTGGTTAACAGATGTTTCCTGAGTACCTACCTATTTGGGAGAGGTTGTTTCATGGTATTAGCAATAGGCAAGATCCCTATGCTCATGGAGCTTTACTTTTTAGTGGAAGAGACAAGGGATAAACACCTAGAGATCCTATGTAGATTTTTAGCCTTTTCATTTTTTTCCTCATCACTCATTTCAGGAAGAGCCCCTATGAAATGAGCCTTCCTACCAGTGAGTTTGATGAGCTGTGCTGGTTGTAGTTCTACTCGGACAATAGTCTTACAAGTCAGAGTTCGATCAGTCACTCCAAACTCATTGAGGAGGGCTTTAGTTTACAGTTGCAGGCAGACATCTCAACCTTCCAGTTTAACAGGTTTCCTAGCTTAGTTGAGGATGGGAGCAGGGAAGCAAATAATGTAGGTGCTGGGAGGGTGGGGTTCTTCAGGGAAGGCAGACGCAGGATCAGTGTTACACATGGTGCTGGAGGCGAACTCAGCTCCCAAGTACACTTGGAGGTTGAATTTTGCCAGATCTGTTACTTGCTATTCCTGTACAGTGAGCACACCTGTCATGTTTTAGGGGCAGATCAAATTTGTGGAAAGTTGTGTGGTAGCAGTTAGTGGAAAAATAGAAGGTGTAGCTGTATGACCCTGCATATAATTCCAAGATGTTTTTGATATCTTTTTCTTTAAACCTGTTAGCAAAACAGGGGCTTCCTTGCAGCAGTAAGCTTTGGATTGATTGTGCCAACTAAAGAAGCCCCTCTTTAAAAATTGTTTCTCTTGAGCCAGGCACTGGTGGCTGACACCTGTAATCCTAGCTCTTCAGGAGGCAGAGATCGGGAGGATCAGGGTTCAAAGCCAGCCCAGACAAATAGTTCTCAACACCCTATCTTGAAAACCCTTCACAATAAAAGGGCTGGTGGAGTGGTTCAAAGTGTAGGCCCTGAATTCAAACCCCAGTACCACAAAAAAAAAAAAATTCTCTTGAAACCTGAAAAACTGAAGTTGAACATAAAATCTTTTGATGATTTTTATGTTTTCTGATTACTTGAGGAATAAAGTGCTTCTTTTTTTTTTTTTTTTAAATAATGTTTAGGTGCTATGGTAGATGAGGGACAGGGTGCCCTAGGTGCACAGAAGTGACAGGCTCAGGAAGGATTTCCCATAGGAGGTGGCAGCTAAGCAGGCTGAGGCCTGAGGTGGGGGAGGGAGGTAGTGTTGCAAGTGGAAGGTTGGAGCAAAGTTGAAGTCTTGGAGATGAGAAAGAACAGTGAACTCAAGGAGCTGTGTCTGAAGAGTGTTGAGGAATGTTGTGCAGGGTTTGTCCCAGATGGTGCTTGAATGTGTACTTTCTAAAATATACACATCTTTTTTTTTTTTTTTTTTTTGGTGGGAATGGTGTTTGAACTCAGATTGTTCTACTCCTTGAGCCACAGCTTCAGTCCGTTTTCCTCTGGTTATTTTGGAGATGGAGTCTCAAAAACTATTTGCCTGGGCTGGCCATGAACCTTGATCCTCCAAATCTCAGCTTCCTAAGTAGTTAGGATTAAGTGTGAGCCACCAATGCCCAGCCTGGCTTTTTTTTTTTGGCAGTGTGAGTTTGAACTTAGCCTATAGCTTGAGCCACTCCACCAGCCCTTTTTTTTTTTTTTAATTTTTTTTTTTATTCATATATACATACAATGCTTAGGTCATTTCTCCCCCCTGCCCCCACCCCCTCCCTTACCACCCACACCGCCCCCTTCCTCTACCCCCCCTACCCCCTCGGTACCCGGCAGAAACTATTTTGCCCTTATCTCTAATTTTGTTGAAGAGAGAGTACAAGCAATAATAGGAAGGAACAAGGGTTTTTGCTAGTTGAGATAAGGATAGCTATAAAGGGAGTCGACTCATACTAATTTCCTGTGCGTATGTGTTACCTTCTAGGTTAATTCTTTTTGATCTAACCTTTTCTCTAATTCCTGGTCCCCTTTGCCTATTGGCCTCAGTTGCCTTTAAGGTATCTGCTTTAGTTTCTCTGCGTTGAGGGCAACAAATGCTAGCTAGTTTTTTAGGTGTCTTACCTATCTTCACCCCTCCCTTGTGTGCACTCGCTTTTATCTTGTGATCAAAGTTCAATCCCCTTGTTGTGTTTGCTCTTGATTTAATGTCCGCATATGAGGGAGAACATACAATTTTTGGTCTTTTGGGCCAGGCTAACCTCACTCAGAATGATGTTCTCCAATTCCATCCATTTACCAGTGAATGTATAACATTTTGTTCTTCTTCATGGCTGCATAAAATTCCATTGTGTATAAATACCACATTTTCTTGATCCATTCGGCAGTAGTGGGGCATCTTGGCTGTTTCCATAACTTGGCTATTGTGAATAGTTCCACCAGCCCTTTTTTGTGAAGGATTTTTTTGATATAGGATCTCTTAAACTGCTAGTCCAGGCTGGCTTCAAACCCAGATCCTCTTGATCTCTGCCTCCTGAGTAGCTAGGATTACAGGTGTGAGCCACTGGTACCTTGGGGCTTTTTTTTCTTTCTTTATGGGCAGTGCTGGGGATAGAATCAAGGGCCTTGCTTATGCTACAACCCCTGCTTCGGTTTTTGAGACAGAGCCCCTATATAACTCAGGCTGGCCTCAAAGTCTCAATCTTCCTTCCGCTGCTTCCCAGATTGCTGGGATCAGGGTTTACAGGCATGTACCACAGTGACTCTTTGTACTCTCTCCTAGAGGAGTGAAGTGAGACAGAAGGCAGGCATTTTTAAAAGGATCTCTGCAATATTGTAGGGAAGATCCTTTTAAAAGGATCTTCCCTACAATAGAGTAGGGAAGGTGTAGGACTGAAGGCAGGGAGACATTTGGAAGCTGTTGTCAAAATTCAGCTGCAAAGTGATGGCATGGACTGGAGTAGTGTCCGAAGATGGAGAGATGTGGGCAAATTTAAAAACTGTTAGAGGAGAGGGCTGGAGATGTACCTCAAGTGGAAGAATGCTGCCTAACCAGCACAAAGCTCTGAGTTCAAACCTCAGTACTGCCAAAATAAAAAAGTGGCAAAAAACTGTTAGAAGAGAGAATTGGTAGGACTTGGTGATCAATTGGATGTGAGGACTGAGGGAGAAGGAAGAGTCAGTCTGTTGGTTCTGATGTCTTAGGTGAAGATAGGAGGGAGAAGGGAGGGGGTAACCCACAGTTAATATTCAATGTGTTGAATTTAGGTTTTTGTGAGTAGGTGTGCAAGTCAGTCACACTTTCAAACTTTTCATTGCTGTGACATATACCTAAAAGAATCAATTTAAAGGAGGTGGGATTTATTTTGGCTCATGATTTCCATAGTTTTAGGTCTATAGTCACAGGACTAAAACTGGGCCATGGTGAGGGAGTATATCATGGCAGGGTGCATATGGCAAGCAAAGCTGCTTATCTCATGGTGGCCAGGAAGCAGAACAAAAGGGAGGCACAGGGGACAAGATACATCCTCAAAGGCATACCGTCAGTGACCAACTAGTCCCCACTTCCTGTTTTCCACCACCTCCAAAAATGCCTTTATGAATCCATCAAGGGATTAGTCCATTGATTAGGTCACAGCCCTCATGATCTAATTACCTCTCTCTCAATGATTGGACCCACCAGGTGAGGACAAAGCCTTCAACACTGGAGCCTTTGGGAGGTTATAACCCTCAAAATAATCATAACAGTAGGATATCCCAAAAGAGCACCTCCAAGAGGCAGAGGAAGAATGGTATGGCCCCAAAAGAGATAAATAACAAGGGAGGAAGTCAGGAAGCAAACACAAAGAGATTCTTAAAGGGAAGTTGGGCCAGGTTTGGAGGTTCACACCTGTAATCCTAGCTATTTGGAAGACAGAGATCAGGAGGATTCCAGTTCAAGGCCAGCCTGGGCAAGTACTTCACAAGATCTATCTCAAAAATACCGAACACAAAAAACAGCTGGTGGTGTGGCTCAGGTGATAGAAATCCTGTCTAGCAAGTGTAAGGCCCTGAGTTCAAACCCAAGTACTGCCAAAAAAAAAAAAAGAAAAGTAAAGTTGGTCTGAAAGATCAAGTAAAATGCTAAGATTTAAGGGCAAGGAGATTGTCGCTTTATGATAGAGCACTTTCTGTGGAGCAGAGGGGGCAGAGGTCAGATTGAAGTGTGTTGTGAGTAGAAGGTAAGAAAGCTTGAGGGATGTGGTGGTACACACCATAATCCCAGTACTCTGGAGGCTAAGGCAGGAGGATTAAGAGTTCAGGGTCATTCAGGGATACATAGTGAGGTCATAGCTAAATAAATAAATAAGGCTGGGCACTACTGGCTCAGGCGTGTAATCGTAGCTACTCAGGAGGCAGAGATCAGGAGGATCAAGGTTCAAAGCCAGCCCAAGCAAATAGTGAGACCCTATCAAAAAAAAAAAAAACAAAACAAAACACCATCACAATAAAAAAAAGGGGTGGTGGAGTGGCTCAAGGTGTAGGCCCTAGCTCAAACCTCAGTACTGCCAAAAAAAAAAAAAAAAATTGATAATAAAGCAGGGTGCCAGTGACTATGCCTATAATCCAAACTCAGGAGGCAGAGATGAGGAAGATCGCAGTTCAAAGCCAGCCCTGGGCAAATAGTTGGTGAGACCCTATCTTGAAAAAAACCCACCACAAAAAAGGGCTGGCAGAGTGGCTCAAACAGGAAGAGGGCCTGCCCAGCAAGCATGTATCCCTGAGTTCAAACTCCAGTGCTGCAAAAAAAAGTCAACAATAAATCCATGTTTTTTTTGACATATTTTATTAGAGATGAGAAAGAAGGGTGCTGGCTAAAGGGGTGTTAAGTGGAGGAGTGTATATACCAGTCCTCCCAAATATTCCAAGTTCCTTGAGAGGAGAATGATGTCCTGTTTTTCTGTGTTACTGAATTATAGCATCTTGTCTCTTTGGTAGAACCCATTTCAAAGAACAAAAACTATCTCATCCCTGTATTCAGCTGGTACATATATCCATTTAATAAATAATTATTGAGTGAATCAGAAAAACAAGATCATATTTTTTTCTTTTATTGAATTCAAATATAAGATCTTTTTCTCACAGATAAAGCACATGATGGCTTTCATTGAACAAGAAGCCAATGAGAAAGCAGAAGAAATAGATGCGAAGGTAAGATCCATTTTCTAACTTTAAGTTTTATACAGTTTTGCTAACCAAAACATTACATGGGACTGATAAAAATGTCTATTTTTTTTTTTTTCCTGGTGGAACTGGGGTTTGAACTTGGCTTCGGATTTGTAAAGCTGGTGCTCTATTGCTTGAGCCACACCTTCTGTCTTCCTGTCATTGTCCTTGGTGTTGTTACTGTCCCTGTACTGTGTGTAATTAAGTATTTTCTAGCTTGTAATAATAACAATGGTAATATTGAGAATGGAAGAGTGAGCTGAGATGGAAAGCAAGAAAAAGAAAAGGGGAAAACAAATATACAGACAAGAGGGAGAAAGCAGAACAAGGTATCAGACAAGAGAGTTTCAAAGGTATAAACAGGGAGTGTTAGTGTGCTAATCGACAGTAAGCTGAACAGACAATAGAGAGACAGAGAGAGGATTGAAAATCAAAGATAAAAAAAATAAAAAATAAGTATATGAAAGTAATATCTATATATAAAAATGAATTAAAATAAAATGGAAAATAGAAAATTAAAAAAAAAAAAACAAACCAAAAAACTTCCAAGTTTGGGGGTTGGGGATTTAGCTCAGTGGAAGAGCGCTTGCCTGGCAAGTGTAAGGCCCTGAGTTTGGTCCCCAGCACCAAAAAAAACAAAAAAAAAAAAAAAACTTCCAAGTTTATATGCAATGCAATTTCAGTTTTAATAATTTGGATGTCCGTCTCAATCTCCAGTCCTGGAGTTGGTGCCTCAGATGTTGTTCTGTAGTTGTCTCATCAAAGGGGATGCATAAAGTAGAACAAAACTGCACACACACACACACACACACACACACACACACACACGGAAAAAAAAAAAAAAAAAAAGCCACACACACACGAAAAAAAAAAAAAAAAAAAAGCCCCACCAAGAGTCCCCAGTTCAAATGCAGTTTCAGTAAGTTTTTCGGCTTGAGAAAAAAAAGCGTCTGGAGGCAGTTCTGAGAGTGGTATCTGCAACTGTGGCTGCCTGCCTGCTGTTCTCAGCCTGTAGCTGGCGGCGTTATTTATGCAGATCTCTGGGGTGAGCTTAGCACTCACCTGGCCCCGCAGGCTTTGTTTGCTCAGAGTTCTCCTGTGCGGGAGCCTCTGCCACAGGCTTTCCCCTTTCCAAGCACTGGGGAAGGTGCCACTGCCCCGCGTTGTCAGGCCTGCGTGTTTATTTACAGTTCACGTGGGAAGTGGGTCTTCCCTCCTCTCACAAGCGTCTCCGCTCCTGGTTGCTGGGCGCGCCCCGCTCCCGCCAGAGCCTCTCCGGCCTGCCCGGCTTGTTTATTTACAGCCCCGGGAAGGGTTCCCTTCCCCCAATCTTCAGCGCTCAGGGCCCCCCACCCTCTTTCCAGCGTGTCTTAACTGTTCTTACTGCTTAGTACTCAGTTTCTCTTTTTTTCCCGGGTGGAGGTCAGTCTGTCCAGGGGGCTATGCTGCTCTGGCCCAGGCTTGTCTGTGGGGCTACCGCGGTACCGCGAAATTGAGCCACACCTTCAGTCCACTTGGCTCCTGTTATTTTGGATATGGGGACTCAAGAACTATGTGCCAGGGCGGTGGGGGGGAAGGTGGCCCAAATAATGTATACACATGTAAGTAATTGTAAAAATGATAAGATAAATTAAAAAAACAAACCTATGTGCCTCCCAAGATTGAGGATCCTAAGATCCTTCCAATCTCAGCCTCCCAAGTTGCTAGGATTACAGGTATGAGCCAGCAGTGCCTGGCTTGATTATTTAAGGAGACAAGTGGGCTGGTGGAGTGGCTCAAGTGGTAAGAGCACCTGCTTAGCAAGCTCGAGGACCTGAGTTCAAACGCTAGTGCCACCAAAAAAAATGGAAAAAGACTATTTTACCTCCCATTAGGCTATTGTTTAGTGTTATCTTTATCTTTATGGAAGCACTGTGACTTCTCTTCTCTCCCTCCCCACCCCCACACTCTCCCAGTTTTACTGTGTAGTCCAATGTATCCTAGGACTCACTATGTAGACCAGGCTGGCCTCAAACTTGAGATCTTCCTATCTCAGCCTTCAGAGTGCTGGGATTACTGGCACGCACCACTGAGTCTGTCAACACCACAGTTTTCTTCTATGACTAGTTCCCTTATTTTTCTCTGGGACTAATAAAAAAACTGTTGATAAATGCATTCCTATTTGAAGTAATTTTATCCTAAAGGTTAGGAGTGTAGCTAAGTGGTAGAATGTTTGCTTATCATGAGCAAGGCCCTGGATTCCATCCCCAGCACTGCACTAAAACAAAAAAAAGGTCAAAGCTTTCTTATCCAGTGTAACACCATCTGTGTGTATTTCCCACAAAAGGCATAGAATAAGCTGTAAGGCATTTATTTTAGAATGTGCAAGTTCAAGGACCTGTGCCAAGCCTTGAATATCCAAATTTGACCCATGAAACTAATAACCTGTGTTTATATAAGCAGCATCTTTATTTTTTGGTGGTGGTACTAGGATTTGAACTCAGGGCCTCATGCTTCCTAGGCAGGCGCTGTACCACTTGAGCACTCCACTAGACCTTTTGTGTTGGGTATTTTCGAGATAGTGTCTTTCGAATTATTTACAGGGACCGGCTTTGAATCGAGATCAGCTGATCTCTGCCTCCTGAGTAGATAAGGATTACAGGCATGAGCCACCATCGCCTGCCTTTTTTTTTTTTTATTTCAGGGGCTATTTTTTAAACTATTTATTTTATTTTAGCAGTACAGGGGCTTGAACTCAGGGCCTCATGCTTGCTAGGCAGCACTCTACCACTTGACACACTCCACCAGCCCTAGCTATATCTTAAAGACTATTGACATTTGTCTTATTTAATTCATGAGAAAATAAACTTTTTGTTGTTGTTGTTGTTTGGTAGGACTGCGGTTTGAACTCAGGGCTTCACACTGGCAAAGCAGGTGCTCTACCACTTGAACTATACTTCCAGTCCATTTTCTTTTTGTTATTTTGGAGACGGGTCTCCCAAATTATTTGCCTGGGTTGGCCTCGAATCTCCATCCTCTTGATCTCAGTCTCCCAAGAAACTAGGATTACAGTTAGAGCCACCAGCACCCAGCTAGAATACTGTTTTTTTTATTATTTCATTTTACAAGGGAGTTTATTATTAAGACTGGGCTCACTTGACCAGATTTTATAGGCAGTAACCCAAGTTTTGTGTTCTTTAATTATACACTAGTAAAAAAATGGATTAAATGCCAAGCATTATGGTACACAGCTGTAATCCCAACATTCAGGAGGCTGAGGCAAGAGGATCACAGGTTTGGAGGCAGTGCTACATAGCAATACCCTGTCTCATGAAAATGGATTTTCATTTAGAATGCATAATAATTTTTTCATGAAAAGAATCTTCTATCCAGGGCTGGATTTGTGATTCAGGTGGTTGTGTGTCTGCCTAACAAGCACATAATCGTTGAGTACAAACCCCAGTACTGTCCCCTGCCCCCCAAAAAAGAATTTTCTGATTGTACCTTTTGTAACTTTGTGTATGTGGCATGGTACTCTTACCCTTTATCACATTTTTAGTTTCCTGGTTCATTGTTTGTAATAAAAATCACTGGTCTTTCCTTTTGAATAAATTATAAGTAATCTTTGAAGACAAACATCACAATAAATTTTCTGTTTTAGAAATGGTAGATGTATTGTGTACTCATATATGAAAATGGAACAGTGATACCTGTTGAAACTATTCTAAGAAGCAGGGGCAGAGAGAGATAAATGAAAATGATGGAGGGGGTGAATTTAAGATATTGTAAGTACTTTTGTAAATGTCACAATGTTCCTCAGTATAACAGTAATAATAATTTTTAAAAAATGGACTAAATGACCATAAGCAAGTATCCCTTAACCAGATGCTTGAAATAAAACTGTCAAAATCTGATGTAATGATTGATGATAATTAATTCCCTGTAGGCAGAAGAAGAGTTCAACATCGAGAAAGGTCGTCTTGTGCAGACCCAAAGACTGAAGATTATGGAATACTATGAGAAGAAAGAAAAGCAGATTGAGCAACAGAAGAAAATGTAAATACACAGATTTCAAAAGCCAGTAAATCATAGGACTGCGGTATAAGCTCAGTGGCAGAGTGCTTGCTTGGCATGTGCAAAGCCCTGAGTCCTATCCCCAGCATCACCTCTCAAAAAAAAGGTTAATGGGATAAGAGGACAGAGCAGCTTTGGAGTCCAGATCTTAATTGGCTACTTACTACTTAATCTGACCTTGGGCAGTTGTTTAACTTCTCTGTCCTCATTTGTGAGAGTGGAAGATTTGCAAGATTGTTAAAGATTAATTTTCAGTAACTGCTGTGAAAGCTCTTGCCACTTTTTCATTACTCATCAAAATTTCCTTTTGAAAATAAGTTGGCAGAAACCACTAAATATATCTCAGTGGGGTTTTCTTTGCTCATTAGAAAGAGAATTACTAGTTGCCAAATCTTCATGATACATACATAGGAGACTATATATTTCTTTCTGCATGGTTTTTGTTTTTTATGCTGTCCTGATAATATTTTCCCATGCCTTTTGCAGTCAGATGTCCAATTTGATGAATCAAGCAAGGCTAAAGGTCCTCAGAGCAAGAGATGACCTTGTCACTGTGAGTAATTAGCCTCTAGTAGTTGTTGTAAAGTTATAAAATGTTTATTCACTTGCCCTTTAGTGAGAATCATCAGTTAACATTAAGAAGTTGATGACTTTTTGTTTTTGTTTTTGTTTTTGCTTTGAGATGGGGTGTCACTATGTAGCATAGAATTCTGATCCTCCTTTGCCTCAGCCTCCCTAGTACTGAGAGTACAGGTATGTGTCACCATCCCCAGTCTGATGAATAATTTTTAGAAAGAACTTTTTTTTTTTAGCAAATCATTATCCTAGGTATTATGGTAAGTACAAATATAAACAAAAGACCAGCCCTAAGTTCAAGAACCCTCTGATCTCACAGAACATTGTAGAGCAACAGTAGAGGGACTGTACAGTGCATGAGGCTAGAAAGGTGGGATTGGGTGAATCTAGGACCATGCATGTAAGGCTGAAGTGTAGCAGCTGCTTTCAGTGGAAAGCCATTGGAGTTTTGGTTTTATTTTGTGGGCAATATCATAAACAGGGCTCATGGTGTGAGCGTGAAGGCTGAATTTAACAGGGAAGGCATTCGAAGCAAGAGCACCATTTGGGAAGTATTGTAGTCATTCAAGAAAGAGGGTAGAACCTGCAGAAGCATAGCACTTAGTTGAGATGGTCTAGAGTTCTTTGAATTGTATTCAAAACCAAACAAATGCCAGCTGTTTCCATTTTATTCATGGTTACTGTGGAGTCCCAAGCTTCATTATGAAAAGGAGAAATAGGTGTTATACAAATATCAGGAAAGAAAAAATGCGATTATTTTGTTTTTGTTTTCTTGTTTGTTTGTTTTTTCATTTTGTAGTTATGATTAAACTGAAAAGATTACTGGTTATGAAAAGAATATACATTCTCTTTATGAATTAATAGTTTTCTTGCCTGCCAACAATAACCAGTTAGCACATAAAATAATAAAGATTAGGGTAAGCTGTGTGACACACTTGAACCACTCTTCCAGCTTTAGAGCTAAATGTCAATGAGGAAGACAGACCTATAGGAAAAAAGTTATAAAACTAAATAAATAAAACCTAAATAAATGGAAAACACACCATTGTCTTAGATATTAAAAGAAATATAAGCCAGTGTTGTGTTATGTATCTGTCCTTATGAACCCACTATGGTGGGAATGAGAACTGAAGATGGTTTTCAGTATTTGCACTTATTATAGGAAGACTTTCTATACGTTGATTAATCATTGACTCCTTTTCTTCCAAATCCAACACTATATTTTCATTCGTGAGTAACAAGGAGAATGGTGGTTCCAGTAACAAAAGTGGTGTTGGGTATAGTGGTACATACCTGTAATCCCAGTAGTGGGGAGACTGAGGCAGGAGGATCATTAGTTCAAGGCCAGCTTGAGCTACATAGCAAGACCCTGACTCAAAAAAAAAAAAAAAAATGGGAACTCAGAAAGATGAGATGTTTTGCTAAGAAAAATGCTTTGAGGAGCTGACCCCTTTGACTCACCCTGTAATCCTAGCTACCTGGAGGCCAACATTGAGAGGATTTTGATTTGAGGCCAGCCCAGGCAAATAGTTCACGAGACTCTAACTGCAAAATAACCAGGTCTGGTGATGTAGCCCAGGCTGGCCTTGAACTCATGATACTTCTTCAGCCTCCCAAATACAGATAGGCTTGGACTATTGCCCTTGGCTTATGTGCTGTCTTTCTGAAGATAAATAATAGTAAAGTGCAAAGGATCTGAAACATTATCTAATATGCTAAAGAAATACGTTATAGAAATGGTTTTTTGTTTTGTTTTCTTTTTCAGTGCCAATTGGTAACTCATAGATACTTCAGAAATGCTACTTCTCTCAGCTCAAGATAGGGTCTTGAGCATCATTTGTCTGGGGAAGCCTTCGAACTTTGATCCTCCTGATCTCTGCCTCCTGAGTAACTAGAATTATAGGTGGAATTACCTAGCTAGAAAAGATTTTTTCACTAAGTGCTGGAATGGAACCCATGCTAAGCCAGTGCTCTACCACAGAAGTCACCCCAACCCCTGATGATAAATTTTCTGATACTGCACTTGTCTTGGCATATTTAGGTTTTGTAACCAAATGCAAATGACTCAGTGGTTAGCAGATCTGACTTCTTTTGTGTTTGCAGTGCTGGGGATCAAATACAGGGCCTTGCACATGCAAGGCAAGCACTCTACCACTCAGCGACACTGCCAGCCTTTTCTCTTCTAATTTCAGCTAACTGGTCCTTATGCTTTTTTTTTTTTTTGGTGGGACCAGGGTTTTGAACTCAGGGCTTTCTGCTTGCAAAGCAAATGCTCTACTGCTTGAGCCACATCTCCAGTTCCTTGCCATGCTTTTTATTTTCATCTACTTACTTAATATTGTTTTTCTAATTCACTTAAAGTTTTAATTTAAAATATTTATTGATATGCTTTTGTAAGCTGCTTGATTGTGGTAGTGCTGGCCTGTAATCCCACCTACTCAGGAGGCTTGGGGCAGGAGAATCACAGATTTAGGGCCAGCCTGGACAATTTAAATTTAATTTAATTTAAAAAATTAACACGAGCTCATTGGGAGAGTGCTGGCCTACCATGTGTGAAACCTTGGATTAAAAATAAAATAAATAAGGGAGACTGGGGAAGTGATAGAGTGCTTGCCTAGCATGCTCAAGGCCCTGGGTTCAATTCCAAGCACTGCATGCATACATACATACATAGACATACAAATAAATAAATACTATGTTGTCCAAGCTGGCCTTGAACTCATGATCCTCCTGCCTTAGCCTTCTGAATGCTGGGATTACAGCTATGTTCCACCATATCCACCTGTAATTCTTTTATCTTGTTCCCTTTTTTGTGTGCTGTGGCGTGAACCCAGGACCTCGTGTGCTAGGTAGATGCTCTACCACTGAGCTACACCCCAGGGCCAAACCAGTAAAAATTTTTTGTACTCTTTATATTAGCATATATTGATTGAACAAAATAATGGGCTTCACTATGACATTTTAAACATACATTTTAAAATAGGTAATGCATTCACTCCATCTAAAACCCCACAAGAGGTGAAAAGTGCTCTGACTTGCCCTCTTATGAGCACTGTTGCTTGGGTGCTGATCTGTGGAGTGAGTGCTCATTGTGGGTGTGGGTTCAGTCTTGGTGTTTTAGAGGGATGAGGGTCAAGCTGGCTCCCAGAATCAGATAAAGGACTTTTCAATAGAAGGCTGCTCCCTGCTCTCCATCCTATATTCAAATCCTGATTTGCATCTAGGGGAGCCTCCTGCTTAAAATACCCAAAAACATAATTTTTCCAAAAGTCTTATGATGTAAAACTAAGCCATATAAACATATGTTTTTATAACTAAACATATCTGACAGAGTTAAGTGGAAAATAGTTGAATTCAGAGACATTATTTGTGCCTTTTAAAAGAACTGAATCAGGCTGGTGGAGTAACTCATGCTAGAGAGTTTGCCCAGCTGGCGTGAGGCCCTGAGTTTAAACCCTACGACTGCCAAAATTAAAAAAAAAAAAACACTGAACGCTTGTAGCACGTACCTGTAATCCTAGCTTCTCAGGAAGTAGAGATCAGGAGGATCATAGTTCGAAGCCAGCCTGGGCAAATAGTTCACGAGACGCTATCTTGAAAAACCCCTTCACACAAAAAGGCTGGTGGAGTAGCTCAAGGTGTAGGCCCTGAGTTCAAGCCCCACTACCACCAAAAATAGAGAACTGAGTCTTCTTTAAGCCAGTAATGAATAAACACGTGATTTAATGACTTAATTTCCAACATACCTTTAAACTGTGTGAGATTTGTTTCCTTTTTAATTTCTAGTTCCCTTTTTTACATAGGTCAATGTTCTTTTTTTTTTTTTCCTAAAAAGTAGGGGCACGTTCCCTGGATTCTATCCTCAGTGCTGGGATTAGAGATGAAGTACCATGCTAGGCTGGGAATCATCTTGCTTTTCAAAGTTGTATCGTTCAGATCTTTTCATGCCTGTTGGCTGTGTGGATTTCTGGGTGACGGATACGTGAGGGAGACTGAACACAAGGGTTGTGTTTCAGGCTCCCTTACACCAGTGTGTTAGTGTCACATCTGCTTCATCATGTGCCTCAGGAAAGACCGGCAATAGAATGTGAGGTGACTGCAAGGCATAGTCCACAATGTGTAGATAACCTTTTCTTTTCCACTCTTTGTAGGACCTGCTGAATGAAGCGAAACAGAGACTCAGCAAGGTGGTGAAAGATACAACCAGGTACCAAGTGCTACTGGATGGACTGGTCCTCCAGGTACGTCGAGTGCCAGTTCTGAGAGCATTTGACAGTGTCTCTGATACGCCAGCCTCTTCCCTGTATCTTCACCTTAGCGTCTTCACTTTTACTTGCTCTGTGTTTACAATGTGTGCCACCAGGACAGTGATGGCTGTCTGGTTGGAGAAGGCTCTTAAGAGTCTAAATTTCCCCAGTTTAATTTTACCTCAAAATATTTTGTGTAGACACAGTTGTGCACCCCTGGTCTGATAATCCTTATTTTACTTATGTTAATCATCAAATACTTGTCCCTAGCCTCATTGCTGGGACTCGCATATGAATTTGTATTGGACCACCAGCCCTGGGTCTGTCTGTCTGGCATGTGGTAGCAGGATCTTCTCTCCATGCTCTCATACTGTTTGCTGGGCTTGGGGAGCAACCAGGCGACATTTCTCCTTACTTACTAGATGAAAGAACTGTAGGAACATGCTTTGCTGTTGCTCTATCTTAGAACTTGCATTTTCCACTCATCAAATGTAATCAATTCTTACAGGGCTTGTACCAGTTGTTGGAGCCCCGTATGATTGTGCGTTGCAGGAAACAAGACTTCCCTATGGTGAAGGTAAACAATTGAAAAGGACTTTTTTTTTAAAGACCAAAATGTGATGATGACATGGATGCACTAACAGACAGCAGCTCAAAGCTGGTGCAGGTGTGTGCTGTGGGCCCAGACTCTGGAAGCCAAGGAGGGAGACTCAAAACTGGAAACCAAAAATAAAAGCCGGCTGTGGTGGTACACCGCAATTCTACACTCACTTAGCTGAGGCAAGAGGATCGTGAGTTTGAGGCCAGCCTGTGCTACATGTGAAACCCTGTTTCAGAAAGTCCAAACCAAAAATCAGAAAGTCCCACTATGTTGTAAATGAAGTACAGAAGAGGCTGGTCAGCGTGGAGGATATCAGCAAGCTACTGTGGGATTAATGTCCTTCTTCCATGGCACTGCAACCTTTATCAGGAACAGAGATTGTTGAATATATGCATCAATTTGAGAAAATGTTATTTTGGGCTGGGAGTGTGTGTCTCAAGCTGTAGAGCACCTGCCTACCAAGTGTGAGGCCTTGAGTTCAAACCATGGTACTGCCAAAAAACTACTTTGATTTGGTGTTGGGGTATGGAATACAATAGCATTCAAGAGCAGACTTTTCTACAACACAATTGTAATGCTGCAGTAACAACCTACTTTCATCTTCCTTCCATTACCTGTGCTTGTGGTGGTGGGCCCATCACCACTATCCACTTCCTTTCATCTTCCTGTCTGAAACTCCGTGCCCATTAACCTCTTAACTACCCCCCTCCCCGCAATTCTGCTTTCTTTTGTGACTAGCTTATTTCACTTGGCATGATATTGTCAAGCATTACGCATGTTGTAGCATACGTCAGAGTTTGTTAAGGCCAATTACAGAACGTACCATTTTATTATCTATCTGTCTACGTACACACATGGATATTTGGGTCTGTAACCAAAGGTAGAATTGCTGGATCCTTAAGTTTTTGAAAAGGGCCGTATGGTTTTGCAAGCACTGTTTTGCATTCCCACCAGCAACGTACAGATGGTCTAATCTCTCCACATCCTCACCAACTGTTTATTTATTTTGGCAGTACTTGGGTATGAACTCAGGACCTTGCACTTGGTTAGGCATGACCCCAACCCTGTTTAATTCTTTTTTTGAGCATGGTCTCACACTTATGCTCAGGCCTGTCTAGATTATAACCCTGTTTATCCTTCCTGAGTAGCTGGGATGACAGGTGTGCACCAGCACGCCCACCTTGTGAGTTGACGTGTGGTTTCACAGACTTTTTCTCCCAGGCTGCCCTCAAACCATGATCCTCCCGATCTGTGCTTCCTTAGTAGCTAGGATTACAGATGTGAGCCACCATGTCTTGCTTGTTATCTCACCTTTTTTTGTGAATGCTACTTAAAGTTCAAGTCAATATCAAATTCCTCCCTTCTCCTTTCGCTCTCCTCCTGATGTTCTTGGAAGGTTATTTTTATTTTTACAGTATTGGAGTTTGAACTCAGGGCTTTGCACTTGCTAGGCAGGCACTCTACCACTTGAGTCACTCCTACAGACTCTTCTTGATGTTTTCATATCCCATCTTTGTTCCACTGTCCATGCTTTACACTCACTGCCTGTCCCAAGCATGTTCTGTCAGCTGTCAAACCCATAGGTGCTTCACAGAACTTGCCTTGTCTCTTCCCCCCCTACCCGCCCCATGTGCAGGCTCTCATTCTGTCTCATTCCTCCTCAGCAGTGGCACCATTTCACATCACCACTACAGCATATCTGTTTCTTTTACTTGAATCAAATAGGGATGTCCTTGTTTGTATAGTCTATTATTTTGGGGGGATATCTGCTCCATAATTTTTGTTAAAATCTTTTTTTTTTTTTAGGCTGCAGTCCAAAAAGCAATTCCCATGTATAAAATTGCCACCAAAAAAGATGTTGATGTCCAAATTGATCAGGAGGCCTACCTGCCAGAGGAAATGTAAGGCATCTTGCTGTTGACATCTGTGAGAATGGCCTTAACACTGGGCCTCTTTTTCTTTTTTCTTTTTTTTTTTTTTTTTTTGCAGTACTGGGGTTTGAACTCAGGCCCTTCACCTTGGGCCACTCCACCAGCCTACTTTTTTGTGATAGGGTTTTCAAAATAGGGTCTCGTGAACTATGTGCCCAGGCTGGCTTCGAACTGTGATCCTCCTGATCTCTGCCTCCTGAGTAGCTAGGATTACAGATGTGAGCCACTGGTACGCAGCTAACACTGGTCCTTTTTAAAATGATTGTGTATAGGGGCGTGGCTCAGTGGTAGAGCACAAAGCATTTTCTCCAACGTGGTCTTGGCCACAAGGACAGAGATGTGACTGTTTCCAGTGGAATGCTGCTGTTGTTTCTGTCACTCTGCTCTCTTGCTAACCAGTGAGCCTGCTTCAAAGACCTAGCTTATGGTTGGTCTCTTCTTCTGATGAATGGGTGGCACTTCTGCACCCTGGGCCCAGAGGTGGGTTCTCATGTCTACATTGGGTACTTGGAATGACAATCCCTACTTCTGAGTATTATCAAATATAAGAATTGTCAGCCGGGTGTTGGTGTTCATGCCTGTAATCCTGGCTACTCAGGAGGCAGAGAGTAGGAGAATCATGATTCAAAACCAGCCTGAGCAAATAGCTCAAGAGACCTGATCTCAAAACAACCCATCATAGCTGGGTGCCAGTGACTCATGCCTGTCCTAGCTATTCAGGAGGCAGAGATTGGGAGGATCACAGTTCAAAGCCAGCCTGGGCAAATAGTTCATGAGACCCTATCTGGAAATACCTAACAGAAAAAGGGCTGGTGGGGTGGCTCAAGTGGTAAAAGCGTGAGGCCTGAGTTCAAACCCTACTACTTCCAAAAATATATATAGCTAATAAATAGTTTCAAATGCCAATGGAATTTCTACTAAGGAAATGACAGAACATTTCCAGGCCGTGGTCTCCTGACAAGGAGACCTGGGACACTTTCTCCATGTCACCTGGCCACGCCATTGACGAATGCCAGACACATGAACTCATGAGAGTCAGGCCTGTAAGATTTGAGATGATTATTGTCAGAATTGATGTTTCTGGAGCTTGGCATTGAATCAGGGTTGTATGCATGCTCATATTTAGGGTTGATTCCCCATTCTGCCACTTACTAGCTGAGTACTCTTGCCTGCTTATTTACTCTCACTGAGCCCTGATTTCCTCATCTCTTATTGAGATGGCAGCGACTCAAAGAGTGCTTGTGAAGTTTAAGTGAGACCATGCACTTGACCCCTGCGGACACTGAGCGGACAGTGTGCCTCAAGCACTGAGTACAGGGCTGGTGAGTAGTAAGCGGCATTGAAGACTGCTGTTCCTCATCTGGAGCCCTTGGGGCCAGATGTGTTTGAATTTTAGGATTAGGATAGTAAATTATGCTGTGGGTGTAGCTCAGTGGTAGAGCACGTGCTTAACACCGGGGAGACCCTGGGTTCAATCCCAAGCACCGAAAGTAATAAAATAAGTACACATACCACTTGTATGATATCCTCAGCAGGTTCTGTGACTCCCTGCCACAGTCACATTACTGTCTCCTTTCAATTTTTTTGCAGTACTTGTATTTGAACTCGTAGCCTCATGGTTGCTAAGCAGGTACTCCACCACTTGAACCATGTCCCTAGCCCCAAATATTACTATTTCTGAATGGAAACATAGGAAAACACACACCTGTAATCTCATCACTTAGAAGTCAAAGGTTGGAAGAGTAAGAACTCAGAGGTTACCTGAGCTACATAGTAAGATCCTACCTCAAGGCCTAAGTAAAGATTTGCTAGTTGTTTGCTGCCAGGGTGGTAATACAAGGCCCTGAGTTCAGGACCCCAATGCCTTCCAAAAAGAAGAATAAAAGGAAATAATATATCTGCCTGTGTCAGTGACATCTCAGAACCCATTGGGGGTGCTGGCAGAGTGGTTCACAGGTAGAGCTCCTGCCTAGCAACCATGAGGCACTGAGTTCAAACTCCAGTACCACCAAAAAGAAAAAGGAGGAAGAAAAAAAAAAAAACAAAACACCGGTTGGGTTTATTATGTAATGTGGTAATTGGGCAGCACTGGGCTTTAGAACTTCATTTCACCAATAGACTGATGGATGTGTAGACTGAGATGAAGCCCTCCCATTTTCATTGTGTTTGGCAGGCCTGGCTGGTAGAATTAAATTGGATGCTGTTACAGTGGATCAAACTGGCACACAAGCAGTCACTTGGTGGCATCAGTACAAACACCGTAAACAGCTTTTGAATTAACAGCAGGCCCACTGCCTCTGTTGCACACTCCATACGCCTAAGAGACCTTCCTCTGAGGGAGAAGTGTCCTCAAGTCTGTGATGATTATTTCCTGTGTTGTTTGTAGAGCTGGTGGAGTTGAAATCTATAATGGGGATCGCAAGATAAAGGTGTCCAACACCCTGGAAAGCCGGCTGGATCTTATCGCCCAGCAGGTAAGTGTGGGAAGCTTCCTCTTACCTGCTGCTGTGAAGCGGTGTGCAGAACACGACTTGTTGCACTGGCATTTGAGATTTGTCCCTTTCCATACTTTCTAACGTTGTCTTGAGAATGAGAATTATGCACACATGAAGGAGGATTTGGGATTGGAACCAGGGTTTTGTTTATGTAGGACTCTAATGTGTACATCTTAGTGCACCTAGAGATGTTGGTAGAAGTTCTCTCTCCCCCTGAAATGATGGGAATTAAAGTGAATAATTGTTTAAGGAAATTATGTTTTCATAACATTTTCAAATGTTTCCAGATGTGCACCGAAGGAAACAAGCCTGGAAAACTCCACTTCCAGGGCATCTTCCTGGGGTGGTAGTCTCCTGGACTGCTAATTTATCCCTTTACTTGCAAGTACAGTTTACTGTTTATGCAAATGCTTATCGTGTAGCCTTAGAACCCTGTGGTTCTGAATGGTAGCCGCTAGTCACGGATGTACAGTTAAGATTAAAACTTCAGGCCTAGTGTGGTAGCATACATCTGTAATTACAGCATACACCTGTAATTCCAGCACTTAGGAGGCTGAGAGAGGAGGATTAAGAGTTCCAGACCAGCCTGGGCCACACAGTGAGACCCTGTCTCAAAAAAACCAAGATCTGGGAAGTAGCTCAGTGGTAGAGCTCTTACCTAGCATGCGCAAAGCCCTGGGTTCCAGGTACAGCACCACAGAAAACCTACAAACTTTCAGTCACCTTTTGTGAGAACAGAACCATGTGTGGCCACCACTGTATACAGTGCAGCCTGAGAAATTGAAGGTTAAATCCTCCTAACACATGCTTGCTCTGGCACATAGTGGGCACTCACTGTTTGCTGCTCCTAGACTCGTCACAATGTAACTTTAGATTTTCATTTCTTTTCTGTCAGCAGGCAGTCTTAACTCCACTGATTAGCTCAGCATCTGTCACCACACAGCAGATAAGGGGAAGACAGATGTGCCTCACTGGCTTTGTGACACAGAGGTTAACGACTTTCTGGAGGCAGATGGGCACTCTCAACAGGTTCTCCAATTGACGGTGCTCACTTTGAATTATTTTTTTCCACAGATGATGCCAGAAGTACGGGGAGCCTTGTTTGGTGCAAATGCCAATCGGAAGTTTCTGGACTAAGCCTTTGGAAGTGGGGATCACCCACTGCTCTACTTTTGAAGAAGCAAGATTGCCTCATAGCTTCCTCTTTGCTGTTCGTATATTGCTGTGTATTTACCATGGATCCCCTTCTGTAGCTAGCACCCCTGGCCCAGTGGTGACAACATAGCATGGTCCAGAACCCAGCCTGAGTGGTGCTGAGTCTTGTGCTGTCTCTCCACCCCAGAGGCTAGTCTAGAGGGTGACATGCATGCTGTCCCCTGCCCTTTGGGTGTAAGGCACACATGCAGTGTGAGTTCCTCTCAGCGGTAGTAGCTTCACTGTTACCTTACTGTACTAGAATTTATCTTTTGTAAATGTGATAGAGATGTGGAGCCATGAACACCCTTTATTTATTAAAACAAAGGCTTTCTGTGGATGGAATTGTAATTTTTTTACCTTTTTTCTTTTTTTTTGTGGTACTGGGGTTTGATGTAGGGCCTCACAGGCGCTCAATCATGTAAGCCACTCCACCAGCCCTTTTTTGGGTATTTTCGCGATAAGAGCTCAAGAACTGCTTGCCCGGGCTGGCTTCAAACCTCGATACTGCTGAACTCTTCCTCCAGAGTAGTAGGATTACAGGTGTGAGCCACTGGCACCTGGCTGAATTTCTTCTGTAAGGTGGTTGAGAGAGTAAAGTTCTGCCAGGCGCAGTAGTGCATACCTTTCAGCTACTGAGGAGGCTGAAGGTCACTTGGGCCCAGGGGTTCTGCACCAGCCTGGTCAATACAGTGAGATCCCAGCTCAAAAAAAAAAAAAAAATGGTGCCAGTGGCTCATTCCTGTAATCCTATAATCCTAGCTGCTCAGGGGGCAGAGATCAGCAGGAGGATTGTGGTTTGAAGCCAGCCCAGCAAACAGTTCAGAGACCCTGTCTCAAAAAAAACTCATCACAAAAAAGGATTGATGGAGTGGCTCAAGGTGTGAGGCCCTGAGTTCAAACCCCAATACTGCAAAAAAAAAAAAAAAAAAAAAAAGTGCAATTCTGAGTGAGTAACCTAGAAAAGAAGTATTTTCCAAATCCTTGCACTTGATAATTGACATCTGTCAGTCCTTGAAACCATTTGCCTTTCGTGTCCTCTGGTGCTACCTGCTCATTTTACCAGACCAACCCCCAAAGTGCTCCTTCCAGCCCTTGGGAGTCTGCACACCACTGCCTCCCTCCCCAGAGAATTATACATTTTGTGGGATTTTTTTTGGTGGGGGCGGGGAACTGGGGGTGGAATCTAGGGCCTCATTCATGGTAAGCAGGTGCTTACCACTGAACTGCACCCCAGCCTGTGGGTTGTGCCCCTTTATTGAAGGAATTGTTTTATTGGTTTGGGCAGGGTTAAAAGGTAACTTTTACCTTTGGGGGGCTTCCTTTGTGCTAGGCTAAATCCTTTCACTGCCCTTCTTTTCCCCCCACTGCCCTGAGTGACTGCTGAGAGCTGCTCAAGGTCTTACAGCTGCTCTGGAGCAGGACTTGTCTACAAGGGTAGGCCTTTCGGAGAGGCACCACAGCTGTGACTGAGCACCGTCCTCTCTCTTGAAGATCCAGATTTTACACTAGGCAGGGACTGATGTAGGTGCCAGCTCTTGGAACAGGCTTTTTTCCTTAGGATTTGACATTATTTCTCTTCTCTGAAGCAGCTCTTGGGAAGGACACTGTCACAGCAGACTGACTTCTTCAAGGCAGTTAGGAAGTGTTGGCTAGAGAGAAGTGAGACTCAAAGCCCGGTGTAAAAATGAACCAAGTATCCTAGTGAGTAGCAGTTAGAAGGTAGTGGTGAACTGCAGTGCTCCAGAGCCGGAGCTCAGTTCTGAAGTGGACACAGCAAACGCAGACACTGTTCCTTGCAGCTGTCTGCTACATCCCTATTACAAGACAAGGCTTTATTTCAGATTTAGCTTTATTTCACACAGCGTCCCACAGGCATCCATAGGGAAGGGTGTGAGAACCCATGCTCCAGGAGGAAGACTTGACTGGGCTGCTCATTTGTGTCCACTTAGTCATCCCTGATGCACGAGCAGGCACCCAATTCAGCCTAAGTGCTGCTTTTGACCCCCTTGGACTTCTGATCCTCCTCTTCCTCAACATGAGTGCTAGGATGAACTAAGTTAAGATTAACACTAAACCCTCACACTGACTCAAGTATACTGACTGAATTTCAGTGGAAAATAGATAGGTTAAATGTAACAACAGCCCTTCCATCTTCACTATCTATGGAAGTCCTGCAATCAATACAACCAAAACAAGTGCTGCTCTTGTTAGAAATCGTGGTTAGGGCTCCTGAGCGTCCTTCAGAGCTGTATCCTGAAGAATAGGGCTATGCTCAGCTTATTAAAGTCAGTTGCTGCTTCCAAGACTTGAGGTAGCACTACAAGTTAGAGGGCAGGGTGTGACACGGGCAGTTCCTTAATCTTCAGCACCAACTTCCAGTTTGCATAAACTGGACTAAGGAAGGGACTTGTGCACTAACTAGATCTACTCAAAATACTTCAAGACACGCTCTCCAATACCAAGGAAATAGACCCCCTGGGCAATCCCAAAGAGGGGTGCTATGACAAGGGCCCGGCAGCCTGCTCCCTTCATGAAGGCAGAGGGTCCCTCCTGAGTCCAGAGTTTCCTGGGGAGAGAGGGAGCTGGTAAGCCGAGGGACCCAGCACACTCCAAGACTCCTCTCCCAACCATTTGCTTTGCTTTTTCTTTCCCTTAGGACAGGGTCTCACTGAGCAACCCAGGGTGACCCAAACTTGCTACTCCTGCCTCTACCTCCCAAGGGCAAAGACCACAGGTGCACCACCACACAGGCTGTTAACCCAAGCATCTGTGTCTTTGAGACCCCAGGTCTGAGGGAGCCATGCTGCCTATTCAGTGTATGCACATAAGTATCTCAGCAAAGAATTTACTGGCTCAAATCTTTGCTGAACTAAAGGGAGATGAAAGAGGCCCCCAGTACACCCTGCCATCAGAGGTGAGGAATGGGCAGATTTCAAAGCCACTCCACGTTCTGCCTTCAAACGGGACTCAAGAACTAGTGCACTGTCCAAGGGGTGCTGGAATTACCTGGCACAGTCGGTGACCCCACTGTAGGTATCCTCACCCAGGCCTTTCTTAAGGGTTTGGATCCGAGTTTTCAGAACTAAATCAAGCAGAAGTTAAAATAGTGTGTTTGGTGTCCTCTCTGGACACAAAGGTGGGGTCCCTAACAGAACCAGACTGAAGCACCAGGCCAGTTCTGCCCTTGTGATTCTGACCTACAAACTGCTGCAGAAAGGCTGCCTGTAAGCCAGGTACCAGTGGCCCTCACTAGAGACCCTATCAATCACCAGAAAAACCCGTCACAAAAAAGGGGTTGGTAACCTGAGCGCCAGTGGCTCACACCTATAATCCTAGCTGCTCAGGAGGCAGAGAACAGGAGGATCGCTGTTCAAAGCCAGCCCAGGCAAATAGTTCATAAGACCCTATCTCAAAAACACCCTTCACAAAAAAAATGCTGGTGGAGTGGCTCAAGGTATAGTAGACCCTGAGTCCAAACCTCAGCACCGCAAAAAAAAAAAAAAAACATAGGCCACCTACACAGGAGAGGGCTGCTGTGGCCCTCACGACTGTTCACCTCCTGCCTTTGACTCTAATTTTGAAAGGTTAGCAGTCACTGCCAGCCAAGGCTCACCACACTACCAGGACAGAAGAAGCTGAAGCAGACAGCACCTGGAAGGTGAGGGAATTTCCAGTGACAAGGAGTAAAGAGTTTCAACTCATCCCTGCTGTTATGTGCAGACTGAGTTCTGCTCGTGGTCTAGGGGTGCAGGGTTGCACAAGTTCTATTTGTCTCGTGAGCAGTAAGACACATGCCTAATTCATGAAACAAGTCAGCCCTTGAGCCCCCAGCCCCATTGCTTCCCCTGCACACGTACCATCCAGAGGGGTGACTGCAGCAGCAGCCACAGAGCCCGCAGCACATCCCGCCAGGAAGGAGTGGGCAAAGGAGGCCTTCCCTGTGTTCTCACTGAGCCCGCGGTTGTTCAGGTTGGCAAACAGGGGGAAGTAGATGACAGAGAAGGGAATGTCTCTGCAGGAGAGGAAGAAGAGAGTACAGCAGCTCGGCTCCTTCCACTGCAGCCAAGAGGAGCCAACACAGGTTCCACAGGGAAGCAGGGTCTTTCAAGTGGGGAGGCAGTGGAGGGAAGGGCAGACAGCAGGGTGAGCTCGGCAGTGCCCTCTGCTGTGCTCATACCAAACTGCTTAGATCCCCCTGGGCCACAGCACACTGCTATACAGGCGTGCCTGTCACTGGAGAAGGGGCCTAGGCAAGCCTGGCCAACTGTGAGGTGGTAGGAACAGCTTACCAACCTGGGTTTGGATATTGTGGAAACAGAGGCCCCAGTGATGCTGTCCTCTACCCGTTCCCTTGGGCCCTGGGGAACAGAACTGATGCGTCCCACGAGAGGAAGAGGGGCTCACCTGAGGAGAGTGGCGCCCAGGCCCTTGTAGAGACCAGCTAGGCCCCGAGTGTGAAGCAGCTCCCAGGCAATGAGGGCGGCAGACAGGCGCTTGTGGGTGGAAGCCGAGCCAGTGCTGTAGTAACGGGAGGAGGGTGGTGGCGAGGCTGAGCCCTGGTGACAGGCCCCTGGAAGGGAAGGGACAGCTTCCATCTCAATCAAACCCAGTAGGTGCTGCAGCCCTTCCCCAAGGGTATGACTTCCTATTCCTAACCCCGGGACAATTCTGTCACAGGTAGAGATTGTCCCAACTTTAGAGCATTCGTTTCTGGCTCCAGAGAGAGCTTTCCAATGCCTGCATTATCTAACGCGTTACCCTGCTCACAGACACCCCACTTTCCTCACAGCACCCCATCCAAGCCCACCATCTTCCCATTAAAACTGCCTGGGATCTGCCTTCAATTCTAACCTATCTCGGCCTTTAGAGTTCCATCCTGGTAGCACTTTGGGATAAAGAAATTCCATATGTGGTCTACTTAATGTTGTAAACCAGTAAATTTTTTTTGTCTAAAAATAATCTCTGGTCTGCTGGAGTGCCTCCTCCCTCTACTCCAAGGATTAGAGGGACATGCCCCTTATCTCCTCCTCCATTTTCTAGAACTTGATTCTTTAGCTGTCAGCCCATTTTAGTTGAGTATTCAGAGCCTATCTCACATCTAATCTTTTGAATGGAATTACTTTTTCCTGAGCATATCAAATAAAAGCATTTAAAATGTGGCTGTGTCCCATTAATGACCACAGGATTTAATGCACTGAAGTTGTGTGAATATTTATTTTCTTAAAACTCAGTTTGTGTTCCAGGCATGGTGATACACACCTATAATCCTAGCACTCAGGAGGCTGAGGCAGGAGGATTGAGTTTTGGGCCAGCCTGGGGTATACAGTGAGACTCTGTCTCAAACACACACACACACACACACGCACGCACGCACGCACGCACGCACGCATGCACGCACGCACACCTGGGGGTACTAGAACTTCTTACCAAAGCTTAGAAGCTAACATGATAAAGCTCTTGCTACTGCAGATAGTGACACAGCAGGGACTTACCAGCACAGTTGTGTTTTCTACAGGTCTGATCCAATCTAGAACCTATTATTTTTGTTTTGCTTTTTGGTGGTTCTGGGGTTTGAACTAAAGGCCTTACACTTATTTAGCAGGTGCTCTACCGCTTCAACCATGCCCCCAGCCCTCTAATCTAGAACCTACTGAATTCTAGCACAGCTGAAGGGAGGCTGGGCAGGGCACACATGGTTACAGAGGACTGTCTACTTGTCAGGTGCTGACTGAACTGGGTACCTTACACTGTTAGCCTATTAATCCAGACACTGTGGTTTAGCCCCAAGGATAGGCCACTCTGCCCTATCCTTGGGGCTAGGCTTAGCCTCCTTGTATAGGTGGGAAACTCTTGCTCAGTATCTATCTGCACTGTAACTTCATACTCAGACTTAGGAAAGGGCAAAAGAATGGCACTGATCTTTTCTTCTTTTTGTGCCTTTGCATTAAAGCCAGCTTCTATGCAGGGTGCTAGTGGCTCATGCCTGTAAGCCTAGCTATTCAGGAGGCAGAGATCAGGAGGATCAGCCCAGGCAAATAGTTTGAGAGACACTTCCTTGAAAAAACCCACAGGGGTTAAAAAAAAAAGCCAGCTACTGTAGTACTTTAGTACATTGGCTGGAAGAGTTTAGTGAGCAGGCCGTTGATTCTCCCACTCCTGGAGCTGTGGATGGAGCCCTGGCTCTCACGCAGTGCAGCAGAGCACTTGCCTAGCCCCAGTTGTTAAAATCTAGGAAATCCAGCTTGAATTTTAAGGCCATAGGATAGAAGTATTAGCGGTGAGTATTTTCTGTCCCTCCTGAATCCAGGTTCTCCTTTCTGCTGCTTGGTCTAAAGACGGAAATCTTGGAAGGGGTAAATAGTAAAATATAGGTTTCTATTGACCTAGAAAGCTGACTAGAACACAAAGCCTGGCAAAGTGATGGTGGCAGGCTTTTCTGGCTGCATGTGAAGTCATGATCTGCCTCACCCCAGCGGCCAGCGTCCTGCAGCTGAATCTTGAGCATTTCCATGGGACAGGTAACCACCACCTGGCATATTCCAGCCCCACATCCGGCCAGCATCTCTATCTTCAGGTCCTGCTGCATCCTGTGGGACCAGAGACCAGCCTTCCAGTTCTGTGCCAGCTCTGCCCCACCCTGGCCACCCATCCTCCCTCCCTTGCTGGTTTGGACTGTCCACAGAAGGTATCACTCCTATTGCCCTTGTCTGCCACCCACCCAGCTGGGTAAATAATTATCAGACTCAGCCTCCTTCAATACTGCTAAATAAACTGAAAACAGGGCACAGGAAAGCAGCATAGGAAAAGTGAAGTACCCTTCACTCAACTCTCCTGCCCCTAAGTGCTATCGCTGAGGCCTGGGGAAGACAGAACCAGAAAGGGCTTGGGGACTGATTTTTAAAATTCAGCTTGGGCTGGGTGAGTGATTCATGTGGTAGAACACCTGCATAACAAGCATAAGGTCCCGAGTTCAAACCCCAGGACCACCCCCCCACCCCAAAAAAATCAGCTAGTCAATGAATATATTCTATAAATTGTTTTATTTTGTTTGTTTGTTCTGGTGGCACTGGGCTTTGAATTCAGGGCCTCATGCTTGCCAGGCAGGCACTCTAACACTTGAGCCACTCCACCAGTTCCATTCTGTATTCTGTCTTGAGAATCACAGCAGCTCATTCTCTTCCCTCACTTCCACCTGGCAAGACACATACGTGTGCATATTTATATTCATCCAGACAGGTAAACTGAGGCCTGTCTGAAATTCTCTCCCCAAAACAGACACACTGAAGGATTTTTGTCCCCTGCTATCACCTAGCCATACCCATCTTCCATTAGCAGCTGCCGGAAGAAGTCATTGGCTGCCAGCTTAATGGCTTTCTCTGGAGTGACCAAGGTGAGGTTCACTGCAGCTCCTGGAGGTGAAGGAAGAACGAAGTTGTGACAATTTCCTATCGCTGCCACTCCTCAGCCCAGTAAGTCTCTGGGAAGAATGGGTCTTGATGTCAAGCAGGGTCCATGTTCTCTTTTATTGAAACATACATTTTTTTGGGGGGGCAATAGTAGGGTTTAATACTCATGCTTGCTAGATAGGTGCTCTACCACGTGAGCCATGCCACCAGCCCGTTTATGCTTTAGTTATTTTTCATACAGGGCCTCACACTTTTGCTGGCTGGTCTGGACCACGATTCTCTTATCTATACCTCTAGCACAGCTGGGGTCACAGCCTTTCCAAGCACCAGACCTGGCTTGTTTATCGCAGTGGGATCTTGCTAATTTTTGCCTTGGCTAGTCTTGAACCGCAATCCTATTGTCCCAGTGTTGGGATTACAGGCATGTAACACTATGCCTGACACATTTTCCTCTTCTTTTTTTGGTGGAGGGGGAGGAGAGTACTGGGGTTTGAACTCAGGACCTCACACTTGCTAGGCAGGTGCTCTATCACTTGAGCCATGGTGCCAGTCACCAGTCCTTTTCTATGTTGGGTATTTTTGAGATACAGTTTTGCTTTTTGCCCTGACTGGCCTTGAACCACAATCTTCCTGATGTCTGCCTCCTGAGTAGCTAGGATTATAGGCCTGAGTCACTGGCACCCGCCACATTTCCCTCTTCTTAATGCCCTAGTTTCCTCTGTAGATGCATGCACCAGTTCAGGAAACCCTCTCCTTACTGGTGCCATCTACCTCTGATGATAAGCAGCTCCCAGCAGGGAGCCCCAGGGACGGGGTCTGGGTCTCCACTGTGGCACTGGCCCTGTCACTGGCAGCTAGGTGGTTTACATGGGTTTTCATTGTATTTCTCGGGGGTCCTGTCATAGCAGTTCTCCTCATATCAGTTTTGGAGCTGTTTTCCAAGGCCTAATCATGGATGGGCATGTGGCAGCACAGGATTGCATCAAGGAAGAGCTCACATCCCTGTCCATCTCTGTCCCTTCAGTCTCCTCCCCCTTCTACTGTCAGTCACTGGGTGTCCTGCCAGCTCCAGTCCCAGAGAGAGGCAGAGGGGAAGGAAGGGTGAGGGCAGCCTGTGGCTTACTTGCGTTCACCATGACACAGCAACCCACAGTTGCTAGTGGGTACTTCAGGAGGACTTGCCAGGAAACAAGCTACCTCAGCCAAAGGGCACAAAGATTCATGAAAAGTCACTGTGGTCCAGGGTCACCTGGTGGCCCATGCCCCATCCAGCAGCTCCCTGGGAAGTATGCTACAAGCTCCCAGGAGCGGGGTGCCTGCACCACAACCACCGACCGTCCTTAGTAGTTGGAGCCTGGCTTCCTTGGGAAGCTGATGGCCTACCTCGGTACATGCCCAAGAAGCCCTCGGCACGCACTGTCTTCAACAGGCAATCGATCCTAGAAGCAGATGCCAAAGAGGAAGTTAGTGGTAGCCAGGGGCTGCTCCATCAGCCCCCCGCTTAGTGTCCTAACTTTGCTGGGCAAGCCAGGTGACCATGCCCCCAGATCCCTCCATGGCCCCGAGTCTCTCCCACAATACCTACACTCCTCTGTACACATCTTTTCCATGCTGGTTCTGCAGTCGGGTCTTGGCCAAGTCAATGGGGAACACACAGGTCACCCCCACAAGCCCTGCCACACCTCCATTGATGAGTTTTGCAGTGATACTAGGCCATGGGGAAGAGAGAGGCAGTGTGAGGGGAGGCAGCCAGGACTGGGTTGGGGGAAAGAGAGGGACAGAGCAGTAACAAGGCAGGAATGTCAGCTTCACCAGACCTTAGGGACCTCACTCTGCTGTGAAGCCTTGACCTCTTGAGGCCTGCTGAGCCCCTCCCCCCACCTCCAGTGCTGCTTTGCTCCCCAGGCCTGGAGAATCTTGAGTGAACCCTGCAAGAGTGTTATTCTTCAAGCTAGGACACTGCAGGGGGGTGGGGGTGCCAGGCCTCAGAACCCTCCTTCCAGAGCCTGTTCTATTACTTCCCCTCACCCTTGTAGCCATGTGGAAAAGTTTCCAAACTGCTACTTTAGCCAGGTATCGGTGGCTCACTCCTATAATCCTAGGTACTCAGGAGACAGAGATCAGAAGGATCACAGTTCAAAGCCAGTCTGGGCAAATAGCGCTCATCTTGAAAAACAAAAACCAAATCACAAAAAAAAGGGTTGGTAAAGTGGCTTAAGGTGTAGGCCCTGAGTTCAAACCCCAGTACCTCAATAAGAAAAAAAAAAAAGTAGTGCAAATCCTGGCAAGTTCTGCTTACTTGAGTGAGCTGCTTTCATTTTCCCCTGTGTAAAACTTGCCTAAGAGACAGCTGTTGTTCACAAGAAGACACACACCTGTACAATGAAGGCTTCTAGTCAGCAGAAGAAAACCAGGGTTAATCACAAGATTATCTAAGTCTAGCAAAATTGAAGGCATAGATAACTGGCCCCTTATCCTGTTTAAATACAGGAGTTTGGGAAGACTGGAACATAGAAAATACAGTTTGTTCAGTCTCCTTGGAATCTGTTAAGATATTCTTATCTTTCAGGCAGATGTGAGCAAAATATTTAGGTAAATCTAACTATCTTGAAGTGGTGCAGTAGATAAAAGGTCTATTCACAAAGCATGCTTGACAATGTAAGCAAGAAATTTTTTGACAACACACAGGACTGTGTCTTAAAAATGGCTGTCTGGTGGGGTGCCTGTGGCTCACACCTGTAATCCTAACTACTCAGGAGCAGAGATCAGGAGAATTGCAGTTCAGAGCCAGCCCAGGCAAATAGTTTGCAACACCCTATATTGAAAAACCTAAGGTAAAGGCCCTGATTTCAAGCCTTAGTGCTGCAAAAAAAAAAAAAAAAAAATTGCTGTCTGAGGGACTGGACTCAAGTCGTAGGGGACTTGCTTAGTAAGTTCAAGGCCCTGAGTTCGATCCCTAGTACCATTAAAAAGAAAGTTAAATTTTGCTGAGAAGGATGCATCCAAAAATTGCAAATTCTATTTAATACTATCCTATATAGATTCATACGTATATTTACATGTAATATGTGTGTATATATATGCCTGTCCACATTTATATATAGGCTGTGGACATGGATCTCCCTTGCTCCTCTTGGATTCAGCTCACTGTCCGCTGTTGGAGTTGAGGCTGCAGTGCTGGTACTGTACAACTCTTCCCGAACCTGCTGCCCATCAGCACATACCTCAGGTCCTGGCTGGACATTCTGCAGGGGCCCAGACGCTGGCGAATCCCAGGACACGGGGCTGTTGACTCCACACAGGTGGCCACTGTCTGAGCTGACAGAAAGGGAAGAGCAGGTGTCTGTTCCCTTGACTCTAGCTTCCCACACAGGTGACAGGACAAAGCATTAATGGATCTGGATTTTTCTCTTCTTAGACCTTCTGGACCTTTTAGATTCAGATCAGAAGCTTTTATCTTTTGGACTTTGGGGTTCAGATAAGAAGGAGGGTATGACAGTATAAGTCCAAACTGCATAAGGCTCTGGGCACCATCACTAGCACTGTAGGGGAAATAAAAAAAGTCTGAAGAGAGGCTCAGGGGGAGGAGTTCTGGGGCCATCAGGGATCATCAGAGACCTCTGGAGTAGTGAAGGAGGCTGATGGAATATGAAAGAGATTTTAAGGAATTGCTCTGAACCAGGAATCGTTCTCACACTATCCAAGAACTACAGTAAAATACTAGAGATGTTCTAAAGGTTCTGTGTTTCCGGACCTTCGCATGAAACCAAGTTAAATTTATTTATGATTGTCAGGGACAGCACTCAGAAAGCAGAAACAATACTCGTTATTATTCCAGTACTCAGGAGGCTGAGGCAGGAGAATCAAAAATCCCAGGCTAGCCTTTAAAAACTAAAAATGAGTAACTGAGAGAGGCCCTGCAGGAGGCCTTGGGCACAGAGGGGAAGTGCCAGGAAACAGTCTTACTCTGGCCAAGGCTGGCCTGAGCTCTGAATGACCTCTCCTCCCCAGGCTGCCTGCAGTTGTTTTGCAGTCCCCTTTTTTCTGTGCTCCTTGCTGTTCCTGGGGCTACCAGCAATTCTTTGTTGTACCCAGTATTTTATTTTGGAGAAGAAAGAACAGTAGGAGCTCTTGAAGTTCAAACCTTGTGCCTCCAAAAGCTGGAGCACTTGGTGGCAAATGTCAGTTGCTCTTTAAGATACTCAGTAAGATGTTGTGAAATAACCCAGTTCCAGGTGGTTTCTTTGGAAACTGATAAGAACCAAGCAAAGAACCTAACTTTTTGCTCTGAAGCCAGAGACCAACAAATGAACACCATGGCAGCCCTTGCACCATAGCCCATATTTCTATTCATTTATTTTATTTTTTGGCAGTACTGGGGTTTGAACTCAGGACCTTGCACTTCTGAGGTAGGCAATCTACCACTTGAGCCACACTCCCAGTCCTCCCTGTACTTCTAGAGCAAAGTTACTGTTAAATCATGGTTCCTTGGTTATTGGAAAAGGGGCCCCTAATAGAAGTTAGAGAACTTAGGGTCAAACCTATCCCAGACGGCCCCACAGCACCTCCACCAGTTGGCTATGAGTGTTTGCAGCCATCGGGAGCATTAGCCCGGGGTGGAATCTCCAGCCTCACCACCAAGCCATGGCAAGCCCTGTAAATTTCAACCTTGCCAGTGCTCTTTGGCAGACTCCAGTGTTCATGTTCTAGACCATGTAGTCAAAAAGAGTCAACAGAGGAGCTCGGCGCCAGTGGCTCACACCTGTAATCCTAGTTACTCAGGAGGCACAGAGATCAGGAGCATTGTTGTTCAAAACCAGCCCTAGTTTGTGAGATCCTATCTGGAAAAAGCCCATCATAAAAAAAAAGGGGACTGGTGAAGTCCCTTTTCAAGGTGTGGAACCTGAGTTCAAACCCCAATACCACAAAAAAAAAAAAAGTCAACAGAGGGGAAACTGACAGCCAGCATGGTTTTAAAGGAATCACATCTCCAGAAACATCCTACACTTGGTAACAGGGCCCTTAAGTGTCAGTTATCTACAAATATCTGAAGAATGTCTACAGTGTTGACAGTTGCAGTTCTAGGCAGCAGGGATGCAAGCTGGGAACAAAAACAAGATCCCTGCCTTTAGAGAACTTAAATTCTGTGACTTCCACACTGAATATACTTCTAAAGACTGGGGTGTAGCTCAGGAACAGAGCAGAGTGCTTGCTTAGAATGTGGGAGGCCCTGGTTTCCACCCCCAGCACTAAGGGACAGAGTGTGGTGTGTGAAATCTGATACAGTGACCTACTTCAGTACTGACCTTGGGCACCAAACCAATATTCCACTATCCTACTATCCTTTTAATGAATTGTCATTTTTTTTTTTTTGGTGGTGGTCCTGAGGTTTGAACTCAGGGTTTCATGCTTGCAAAGCAGGCACTCTACCCCTTGAGCCACACCTGCAGTCCATTTTGCTCTGGTTATTTTGGAAATGGGGTCTTGTGAATTATTTGCCTGGGCTAGCCTTGAACTGCAGTCCTCCCAATCTCATCCTCCCAAGTAGCTAAGATTACAGGTGTCAGCCACCAGTGTCCAGCTTGATTTACTATCTTTTAGCTACTTTTCGTAACTTGTTAACTAGTATCCTTAGCTATAAATACTTACATTAAAAAAACAAACAAACAAACAAACCTAAAACTCAAATTCAGTCTCAGTCTTACAATGACTGATGGTAGCCAGAAGGGTGGGCCAGGGCCTGGCTGAGCCCCTGGCTGGCTCACAAAACTATGGGAAGGAGCATGCAAAGGTCAGGCCAGATGCAGAGAACTGTGACTGCCAGCTATAGCATGTTCATCCTGTCAGAACCCCTCCACGTCCACCCCCACCTTGCCAAGTAAGGTTATTTGACCTTCTAGGTGGCAAAAAAACACTGGATGTTTTGAGGGAGAAAAACAGCATCTTCAATGCAGTCTGAGGACCATTATTCTGAAAGAATGGGCAGAGGGAAAGAAAGTTAGCATGCTTGGCCTTGAGAGAGAGAAGTGATCTGGGCACAGTGACCTGCACTCCAGCTGCCCAGCCCCCCTCACTCCCACAGCACAACCATGGAGAGTTAGCTGACAAACACATAGGGAGTGGGCTGTTACTTTTCATTACTAATGAAGGTTTGTTCTATTCTTTTTTTCTTTTTTGGCAGTACTGGGGTTTGAACTCAGGGCCTCATGCTTGCTAGGCAGTGTCTCTACCACTTGAATGACCCTGCCAGCCCTCTATTTCTTAAAGTACTTAATTAATAGAAAAAATGAACAAATAGCACAGAAAACTGTAAAGTGATTCCTGTCTTGAACAAAGCCATCAGGACACACACTATCTGGGGTAAGGACTCTAACCGGTAACTGGCAGAGTCAGAGCGGGCCTGGTGCTCTACCACTGAGCCACACCTCCAGCCCCAACAGTCATTTTATGTTTAGGGATTTATTAGCAAAATCTGTTGACTTAAGCTTTATCTTTTTTTATTTTATTTTCCTAGTAATTCATTCCTATTATAACTTTTTAAATTATTGGTCCATACAGATGGAGGAAAACCAGTCCCTTCATCACAGCTAGAAAATTATCTTCCCCAGCAGTAGCACTGCTAGTGAGCTTAGCCATCTACCTCAGACAACTCCCAGGGCAGGGGCCGGATGGCAGTGTTCAGATCTGCCATTTAGCACTATTGCCAGAGGTGCAGAGTTGATTTCTTGCCCTGTCAGAACAGGTTCCCACTCCCTACCCTGCCTGGCCACTTCCCTACACAGCATCACCTCAAGTGTCTGCTCTCCCGGAGCCACCCTAAACGTCTGCTTCTAGGGACCTGTCACAGGTCACTCTGGCACCTGTTTTGCATGTCCTTTTTGCTCAGGACAATCTTTCCCCACCAACTTTGATAATTATGATTATTTTTTAGGCATCTGAGTGACATTTAAATTGATGTCACTTTCTCACATTGACCTTTTACACCTTGGCTGTCTTGCTAGCCCACTGAAAGCACTCGCGTGGTATTGCGTATTGACTTATGTTCTCATCCAAACAAGGAGTTATGTGAGTGCTAAGACAGTCTTCAGGCTATAGCCCCAGGTCCTTCAGGGGCAGCCAACAAAGACCATTTAGTCAGTGGGGCACAGGGGCCTGTGCAGTGGGCTCATAAGGTCCGGGGGCAGGGATCTAAGAAATGAGGACCGTGTCCCTGGCTATCTCCTACTAACAAAACATGTGAGTCTCCCAAGGATGAGGCTGCACAGATCAGCCATAGGCCTCTTCTTGACTCACTGCCCAGGAAGTACCCTGCATCCTGGCTTGGATGATCCCTGGGATGCCCCATGGTCAGAACAGAACTTCCTTCTGCCCTCTTCCTTCTGCACAGGAGAGATGGGAGACCTTTCCCATTGGCTGCCCTTTCCTTTCCCTAGTTGTTTATTTGCTAGAAGAGTCTTTTCCTTCCAACTCTAAGCTTGTTACAGAGAAGCCCATCACTCACCTGCACTCAGGAAGGACCTTCTTTCTGCCTTTTCTGGAATCAGGATACACGCCAGGTTACTGCCAAACTGTGAGAAAAGCTGGTTTACAATGCTGCCAGGAGGAGCTTGTTTGTCCTTGGGTCTTGTCAGAATCCCTCCCTCCTTGTCCCTACCTCAGCCCCTTCACATAGGGTGGGAGGGGACTAGCAGGTGATTACCAAGTCCTCCTCCTCCACTGCAGTGTCCCAGCCTCTCTCCAGCCAAAGCAAAGCTCCCCAAGTGGCAAGCAGGTGACTGCTCACTTGGTTGATGGCAGGACTCTGAAAGTTCATCTGGGAAGTGGTTTGAAAAGTGGTTTGAGCAAGGCAGCTGAGAGACTGAAGGGAGACTCCACCTTTCAGAGCCCTGGAGGTAGACAAACACCCTGCACAATACAAACATTTCTGCAAAACCCTGGTGCCAGAGTTGATAACTGATTCTCGGTCTCATGGACTGCAGTGATGGGGATGGAACACAGGGAGCACCTTGCTAGTTGCGGGTGACTATCAATACACTTTTCTCAGTCAGCTGTGTGCTGGGGCCACTGCATGCTCACTGTGGGAGGGCTGCATGCTGTCCTCCAATGTTACAAGTGAGCTAGGACCTAAGTGCTGCAGAGCTCAGTGGGACTTCTTCCAGTGTGGAGAACTAGAAAAGTTTCACAGAGAAAGTAACAATGGATATGGGGCTGGAAGGCAAAAGTTGATGGAATTAGAAGAGCCAGGGAAGAGAGGTAAAAATTGGTCCTGGGTCCAGAAAACACAGATCAAGGGTCTGGGCCAGATGAGGAATTGATCTGAGACAGATGTCGGGGTCAGAGACCCCAATTCAAATCCCAGGTCCCAAGTCATCATCTTTCTGCAGGCAAGTCCCTTAAGCAGAGACTTTCTTAGCAAATAGGCAGGGGGAGATCTAGAGTCTGTGGCAAGAAGGAAATGAGGCTGTAGGGGGCTGAAGACACACTGCCTTTGAACTGGTTGCCACCCTAGCTTACTGCTTTGTGAGCCTAAACAAAGCTCTTGGGCTGGTCAAGTGGCTCAAGTGGTAGAGCACCTGCCTAGCAAGTGTGGTGCCCTGAGTTCAAACCCCAGTACTTAAAAAAACAAACAAAAAAAAAACCCCCAAAACAACAACAAAAAGTTTACTTATCTTCCCAAGCCAGCCTGTCCATGAGGCTGCAGGGCACTTAGTACAGTGCCAGGCACATAAAATGTGTTCACCATGTGTATGGATCTTCCCTTCCTCTGGTGGTTCATGGGACACTGGCTGATTTGAGGCATTGCCGAGTGGTTGGGACAGGTCAGGGATAATATAGTCATCTAGGCAAGAGACAAAATGGCAGACTACAGGGAAAAGACATGGCGATTTCTACATGGACTCAGCGATTGACGGGGGGATATGGGGAGTGACAGCGCAACAGACAACAGGTGCAAAGCATGCACAGCAAGGCCAGGAGACAGCAATGTGTACAAAAAAGGGCGGTGTCATTTTAGACCTGCTATGATGGCTATCAAGGTGTGAGGAAGTGATTATTAAGCTAATCGAATGTACAGAGGCACACTCTGGAAACAAGTACACTGTTACCTAGTAACCACTGAAGGACCACTAATTGTGACTAATAAGGTGATGGTAGTGGTCCTTGGTGGAGGCCACCTACCCACCGTGCAGTTGCAGATTTGGAAAACGCTGTTCCTCTCTGCTACACATCTGAAGTAATACAGATAGGCGATCAAAAACAAGAAATTCCAAAGGCCTGACTTTGCAGTCCAGTTCTTGGGGTTATATGGTTGGGTAAGATTAAAATGATTTCTGATGCCATTGTAGATGAGGTTCAGGCTTATCCCATGCCCACAACAGTTGAACTGCACAGGTCTTATATGCTACGTACATGTAATCCTTGGGGGATTGGATGGAACCTATGGCCAGGTAGTCTTTGGACTCTTGGAATACTGATGGGCCTTCATACCCCATTCTTGCACAGCTAAAAAGAGACAAATGGGACTAGACTGAAGAGGCAGAGACTGGCTTTAGAGCTGTGAGGCCCAATGTCGTGTGCTAATGAGCCCTTGGAGAAGGCTGTACTTTTGAGGACAGTAAGACCCTGATAGCAGCAGATGCCTGGTGTACGGACGGTTCCTGCCGGAGACAACTGGCTGCACAGGCTGCAGTGGCAGTCCAGCTGAGCACAGACACCATATGGTATGATGCTACAAGAATAGGTCACAGTAGCCAACGACAAACTGTGAGCAACGTGGCTCATGACCATGAATGAACCTGGTCCATAGATATCTGTACTCGCAGTTAGGCTGTGCACCAAGGACTTACAATATGGATCCCTGATGGCTTACCGCCCCTTGTGGGGGCAAGCCTTGTAGCAGGGCCTTTAGACAGATGACTATATGTTACGTAGCTGGGCACATGCCACTGGCCTCACAAGAAACAATGAGGCCAACATTGACATCTCAGGGCCTAAGATGGACATTGATGCAATTTTAATGTAAATTTTAACCCCCTCCACCCTGACAGAGGATCCTCTCCAAAAATGATAGCCCCTTGCTGGAGCAACTCAAGTTGAAAGTAACTCAAGTATCTGCATTGAGGAATGGATAAACAAAATACGGTATGTGACATATAATGTTCAGCCTTAAAAAGGAAGGCAATTCTGACTCATGCTATAATCTGGGTGGATCTTGAAATTAGCCAGTCAGAAAAGGATAAACACTGTATGATTCCACTTACATGGCAGTATCCAGAATAGTCAAATTCAGAGGCAGACAATAGTAAAATGGTTACCAGGGGCTGGGGAAGGGGACAATAATGAATGGGTACCAGTTTTCAGTTGGAGGAGATGGAGGGTGGTGATGGTTGCACAATGTGAATGTACAGTTCAAATGGTGAACTTACTGTTGGGTATGTCTTACCCAACAGGACAGATGTGCAAAGACCCTACATCTAAATGCTTGCATTTAAATGTTTATTTTTTTGGTGGTGCTGGGGCTTGAACTCGGCCTCACACTTGCTACACAGGCACTCTACCACTTGAGCCACTCCACCAGATCACCCCCTCTTTTTTTTTTTTTTTTCAGTATGGGGTTTGAACTCAAGGCCTATACTTTGAGCCACTCCACCAGTCCTTTTTTGTGATGTGTTTTTTCGAGATAAGGTCTTGTGAACTATTTGCCCAGGCTGGGCTCGAAATGTGATCCTCCTGATCTCTGCCTTCTGAGTAGTTAGGATTACAGCTGTGGGCCACTGGTACCCAGCACCACTAGCCCATTTTTGTATTGGGTTTTTTCGAGATAGGGTCAGGAGAACTATTTGCCTGGGCTGGCTTTGATCCTCCTGATATATGCCTCCAGAAAAACCAGAATTACAGGCCTAGGCCACCAGGTGCCTGGCACATTTAAATCTAGATGGATGGCATTGTGAAGAGAGGGGGAGGTGTTAATATTGCTGTGCATTATAATAGAACAGTTAGGAAAAGCTTTTGACAACAGGCAAGCTATAGGAAATAAAATATGAGCATTAAATTGTGAATCATTTTGGTAAGAAAAATTCTAAGTAGGGCCAACAAAAAACAAATCACAAAACAATGACAGAACATGCAGGTGGTAATGTCAAACTGGAATGTGGAAAAGGTGCCATCTAAAGATATTTGAGTCTCCAAAGAGTAAAAATAAAATCACCCAGAGGGAGGGGCATGAAGAATAAAAGGAAGGAGACTGGGGAAATGCCACCTTTGGGAGACAAAGGAAGGTGGAAAGAAAAGATTCCAGCGAGTGTGAGATCTGTGCAAACTAAGTTCAAGGGTGGGCCAAGGGTCAGGTGCCTTACAGAGGAAGTAAGGAGCTGGGAAAGGGGTGAGCCAAACTGCAGGGGGCGTGGCAAGTAGAGGAAAAAGTCCAGTTCTCTTGAAAAAGTTTGGATGAAGATAGAGATATACATCATACAGGGACCTAGAGCAATGCTCACAGGAAGGGAAAAATCCACAGAAAAGGAGACTGGAACCCAAAGCACAAATGAGCGTTAGCTTTGGTGAGGCATTACTGGCAGAAAGAAAAAAAAAAGGTAGGTGAAGATTTGAAAAGCCCATAGAAGTTATGGAGGCATATATGAAATGACCTCCCTCTTTAAATAAATAACAAGGCTGGTTCAGGCTTTCCTGCTCTCAGCATGGCTCAATGAGCAGCAGCTGTCTCTAGGAGCTTGTTAGATACCCAACAACTTCCCACTCTCCCAGACACAGTGAACCAGATCTTCCAACACTCCCTAACCGCACAGGTGCATATATATTCAAGGTTTGAACCATTCATAGCAAAACTACCTGGGGAGATTAAAAAAAAAAAAAACCTGATGCCCAAATTGCACTCCACCAATAAAATCCCATCTTCTGGGGACAGAGCACCAGACAGCAGGTTTCTGTAAAGTCCAGATAACCTTTAACAAAAAGCCTGGGTAAGCAACCATTGGTCAGGGTATTGCAAAGTCCAACATGGGTTTCTTAAGTTTGTTGAATAAACTGCATCAGCAACTGCAGCTCTTTATAGGAGTAAAGAGGTGACAGAACAGGACTTCAGTGTGCAGGGATAGCTCTGTGGGTCTTAGGATGGTGGGAAGACAGAGCTAGTGGCCTGGAAGGCAGGTCAGAGGGCAGGGTGGGGCCCAAGTGGGTGATGGCAGGGCAGGGTGGGCTATGAGGGAATTTCTCCATTTTGCAGTCCTTTTAGGTCTGGCTTCTTCCCCACATGTGACATAAGGGACTTCTGTTACCCTTATTTCTTGTTAACTGGCAGTGGGGTGAATTTCCTATTTAAGCAAGAAAATGCTATGCTGTCCATCAGGTTTGAAGGAGATACTCAGGTAAGGTGTGAAGTACTCAGGGTTGACATGCAAATATCAGGTCCCTCCCACAAGTCTGTGCTCTTAGTGTACATCTGAACCACCTTGCTGGACACTTCCACAGTCTGATTAAGCAAAACTAAAAAGGGATGTCAAAATTTGCCTGTTTTTTTTTTTTTTTAGTAGTACTGAGGTTTGAACTCAGGGCCTCATGCTTTCTATGCAAATGCTCTACCACTTGAGCCACTCCACCAGCCCTCC